CGTAGACGTATATACAGGAAACTTTGCTATGATGTGTTTGCCCTACATACATGTATACAAGTGATTTTTTTTAAAGGTATACATAATTGCGGAAAGCACAAAATTTTAAATAACTTTCCTTTCGTAACGTTTGGACATTGTTACTCTCTGAGTACTTAAGGACATTTATTTATTTTTCAGGAAAAGCTTCAATTTTAATAAATCTTGCATTTCTTTTTTTGTACATAAACATTTTTTTTCTATATTGTGATTTAATTTTAATTCATCCCAAAATAAAAAAAAAAACTAATAGATGTCATACATGTACTTTGAATTCAACAGAGAAGAGAATTCACATGCAGTCTTATTCAATGTTACATTATATAACATATTATTTAAAAAATCAGCCGTAGTATTTTTTTTTCATATTTAATTAAGAAATAAATAAGGTACAGATACATATACTTCAATTTGCGTAACAAAAGAAAAATGATTTCTATGGGGAATTTAATGTATACACCTACATGTATAACTTCTATAAAACATTTTGCATGTTAACGTTGTGCATGATATATAACCTTTAAGGATTCGAGGAGAGACAAATTGTTTCAAGGCAAAATATCTGTTTGTCATAACATTTTCGTGATTAAATATTGTTTGATCATTATAGGTCTTATACAGCACTTGAGACATTTACTACTTTTACATCAATCCTCTATTCCAAACCTTTTTCCTTAATAATTATGTTGACCCTATATCTAATCCTGGGTCCATTATTTGAACAAATTACAAGATAAACTATATCTAGAAGCTTTCACGTGTTTCTTTTTTCTAGCCAAGTACTAGTTGTTTTTTATATAAGATATTTAAAAGGTTCTCCTACATTGCAGCCCCACTTTTTCCTTAAGGTCCATGATTTCAACGTTTAGAATCCACAATACATCTGAAAGCTTTCACAATATATTTTCAAATTAATAGTCCAGTGATTCTCAATTTTCAAATTAATAGTCCAGTGATTCTGATTCTCAATTTTCAAATTAATAGTCCAGTGATTCTTGTGAGAAAATTTTCAAAGAAATACGTATTTATTTTTATGTGAAATTTCATTCCTTATTATGGTCCCACCTTTTGTGACAGTCATGGTTTAAATAATTTAGAATCTGCATAATTTCTTCATAAAGTTTCAGTGCAAGTGTATCTTTCCTCATCAAGATTAAAAAGAAATTTTAATGTTTTTTTTATTATTATTTCAATGTAGTTTTAATTTAAAACGTCAACCCTCTATTCTGACTAGCCCCGTTGGGTGATTCTTGAAAAGATTTTTCAAGATTTTTCTTATACATCTCTATTTAAACTATGATCCTCTATTAAGACCCCAACTTACTTTGGAAATCATGATTTGAACAGTTTAGAATTTACTCTTCTTTAGGAAACTCGCAAAAAAAAAGTTTCATCTGTGGCCGTTTTTCATGAGAAGACGATTTTCAAAAACAAGACCCCAATTTTACCATTTGATTACATGTATCTCTCCTTGAAATGGGACTTGGCTTTCTCTTTGAATAATGTTGCATTTCCTGCACCCAAGTATGCTTTATGCCATTTTGGTTAAAAATGGCCATGTGGGATTTAGAGAAGTCAAAAATGTGAAATGTTTACAGACATTCAGACAGCTAGGCGGGTGCCGAACAATGAATGATCAGAAAAACTCATTTTAGCTTTCAGCTCAATTGAATTTAAGGTACTCCGATCCTCAGGTTCTGAAAATCAAGCATTGACTAATTGAAAATGCTCACAAAAATGTCTCTGAATTTTCAATGTAACGTGTTTTTACCCATAAAGATTCTTCTTGAAAACTTCATCTTTCAACTTAAATCATATTATATAGAGGAAATTAGTAAATCACAAATATATTTTCAGGAATTGCGAATAAAAACACCTGCTATGCATTTTCCAATTCAAATTTGATCAATTAACACATTTTAAAAATAAAAATCATAGGTATCCAGGCTTTTTAAGAAATTCTACAATTTTCAAACATATAATATACGCTTATCCACTGTCTGTGAGTGGGATAGCTCTTTTATCAAACCCGCGACAGGGAACTATTCCCCGAGGGCTTGCCTGAGGGGAATAGTCCCTGTCAAGGGTTTGATAAAAGAGCTATCCCTCTCACAAACAGTGGATAAGCGTTTTAATATACTGATGTATAATATAATTTCTGAGGTTTGAATTTTTTTGGAGTAAGATAATACTGCAAGAATATTCTGAAATCCTGATGACGTCACAATGTTACTGAAGTCATTATGACATCACCAGTTTAAAGATTTATCGCTGGAAATCAAAATTGGAGGCAAAAATTGCATGAAAATTTTCCGAGGGTGGATAGGAAAAACTATACCTCGGGGTATAGCTTTGCTATGCATGAACTATAAAGGTAGCTATTTTACCTTCTGAACTTTATATAAGAAACATTTTAACAGAAGTATAATAATGTTCTTAAATTTCTTTTATTTACTTTGATCAGTTTACAATGCAAAGTGTATAAAGATTCTCCTGTCATTGCAAAGCTCCATAAATCACTTCTAATTTCATATCATGTTTAAAAACATTGGTATCTATGGTTAGACTAAAATGAACATCAATTTCTTGATATATGTAATTTTCAAATGCTTTAATGGGGTAAAAATTTCGACTTTTACTTAGACCTCTCTGAGAACTTCAAAGAACCTTGAAGTACATTGAGAGGTATATAACGAAAATTGTTGCATGAAAATATTTTATTTTCAAGCTTCATTTTGAGACTTTTTGAATTAGATTATAAATTAAAGAGTTGTCCTTCCTGGCTGAGGATCGGAGTCCCTTAATATACTAAACAGATTTATTGAAGATACTGAACAACTACTTTAGAAAGTTGTTATGCATGTACTTGTACCATTTGAAGATTTTTGAAGGACTATTGAATGGGTAAAAGCTCAAAGTTGTTATTAGGCACTTATACACTTTCCCTTAATGGCACATTATGTAAAATATTCAGGAAATTAAAAAAACAACTCTATACTGCCTTGCTCTTATGCAAATATTTCATTTAATTTTAAATAACTCTTGTCAGGTCAATGCGTTAACTGCTAATGGGCAAAATATATATATCACTGTATAGACCATGTATCACATCTTGATGTGTAAATGACGTCATTATATATATATTATGTGACAAAAAATGTCGTACTTGAGCAAGAAACTGCTTAGCTGCAATAATGTAGCCCTCTCCGATTTTTTTTTTTTTTTTGGGAGAGGCTCCAGAAAATATCAGATAAAAAATATCGGAGAGGGCTACATTATTGCAGCTAGAAACTGCTGTGATGTTGTTGTTTTTTTTTTTTTTTACATATAAATCAAGGAAAAATCCTTTGAAGTAATGTAATGATTTGTACGATGTTTGTGGCGTTAAAGGAAGTGTCAGAAAGCATTTGTATTTTCTTTTTTTTTCTTTTTTGTAATAAGAAAGAAGATGATTATTAAACGATATTCGTTGGGATTGCACCTGCTCCGAAGACTTTATCCAAGTTACTTTACCCAGGGTATTGAGATTTTTGTTTTCATTTTTGGGGGGTGCTTTTATGTGAATTTTATTAACTCGTAAATTATAAAGTCAAAATCAAATGAAATTTTGGATTTTGGTGATTAAAAATCGTAACATAAAAATGCTGGAAAAAAAACTTCGATCAAATAACAACAAATCACTTTAAAAGGTTTCCCTGCGTGTTTTTTCCCTTCGGTATATTATCATATTTTTGTCTAGTTGGTGTACATCTCAAAATCAATATCAATACAGTTTTGGTTTAAATTGGACGTATAGTTTTTGTGGGAATAAACCTGCTCAGTAGACTTTGACCTATTTGCTTATCAAGAAACTTATTGTCGGACGGATTGAACATCCAAAGGCAGTTGGAGTGTGCCCATCCTTACATGTATCTTGCAAATGCATGATTTATCAAAAATAATAACGGACAAAAATCATTGACCTACTCCAATACATGTAACATTACCCTAGTCATTCATCTTGAAAATGTATAGGTCAAATTCGAAATCAAAAGTAAGTTTGAAAGTGACGTCGACTCTTTCTTGATACATCATCCACGCTAATTTAGTAAAAGTATGGATAAAATTTCACGGTAAATAAAGGTCAGACCAAGCATCTAAAGCAGGTTAGGTAGTGTACATCCCTATATGCTTCATCCACGCAAGTCTGGTCCAAGTAGGACTTACAGTAACTTGAGAAAGGACCTGCTCCTAAAACATTAACCTGGTCACTTTTCTAGAAAATCTAAGATACATCCAGTATCCGAATCAAGTGGTAGTATCCATCTTTAGATGCATCATCCATGCAAGTTTGGTCCTGGTAGGGTTACTTGGGAATGGACTTGCTCCAAAAACGTGAACACCGACGTCGGGATAGTATAACCTCCTTTCAACTTTCCTGAGTTCAAGCAAGAAATGTCTTGTTATTGGCGAAGTCCAGAGGATCAATGATGAGGACCCAAGATAAACAGGACATGAGGCTTAAAAGCTTATATACATGTACATTCCTAAATAATATATAATTTTTTTTCAAAGATTTTGTCATCGAAGTAATGTTATTTTCATAAGTTAACTCACAAAAAATTGAGGTACCTTACCGGGCATTTGTGCAAGACACCATGATGTTGCCTATATAATCCTTTTGAAAATAACTTTAAATTGTCAAAATCAAATTTTAGCATTGTAAATTTTTATAAACAATTAAAAATCAGTTTAAAAAACACAAGGTAATTATAACTTTAAATATATGTTATATATTACAAAGATATACAACACAGATATCTGAGGAACGTATTGTCTGATCATGACCTTAATTTATTGCAAATGCACAAATTACATGTATGATCATGAGTATTGACAATCAAAAATATTCCCAGAGATGACTATCATGGCATTAAACATGTTCAAAGAATGAGAATACCTAGTAATAACAATACAATCCGTATAACTGAAAATATTTTATTCTAAAGCTGGATCACTCTTACATTTTCTGGATGACAATTATTACACAGAATTATATTACCTCAATTTTCAAATAAAAATTTTACACAGACTTAACAATCCGTACAGTTAAAACATTCAACATTAACAAATTAAGTACATGTACCTCTAAAAAAACCTTATCTTGGTTTGTAAATTAATGAAAAAAAATACATTAACAAAAGATACATGTTTAAACCCTATAGACAAATGAGACAGAAAGTTATCCCTGTTTATAATGATATTTCATTCCCTTTCCACAATAGAAACCTTCCATTGTTTAGCATGATTGGTTTACATTACCGGGTAATATGCAATAAACTTATTGATATAAATCCTTTAAAAATATATATCTTGCAGAGGATTAGCCTGCACTTTAATAACTTTTTATAGTATTTCACATTTGAATACATAAATCCTTTTCTTGATTCCTAAAAATCTGCATTTCATTTAAGCTAAAGGAAATAATAATAACTTTGTTTAAAATTTAAATTTTTCTTTAATTTGCAAAACTGATTTCCTTAAAACTGTGTTAGGAAAAAATTAATACAGATTTTTTTTTATTACATGCACCTGTTGGAATGTACAATGTATAAAAATTTGGGGGGAAAAGGCACTCTATGAATTTTTAGGGTGGCATATCTGTGGCAAGGTTGAGTAAAAATGATTTGTAAAACATTTGGTAAAACATTTAAAAATCAAAATATTAAAATGCAAACATTATAGAAAAATGGCTCATTTTTTCTCATCATAATTGGCTTCCACAAGTGATGAGATGAGTACATGTGTATGAGACAATTTATTTCTACATTTGCAAACCCGGTACTTAAAATGCCAAATATTAGAAGTGCATGTGTATATAATTATGTTTCGGTGAAAACTGAAGCTAAAATAAATTATTGTTTATACTACCTAGCTGTTCCTATAAAACAACATGCATGCAACTTAACTGACTTCTACCCTCCTGCAGCCTTTATTATTTGGAATGCTTAACAGAGGCCAAACAAAACTTAGACATTAACATTATACCACAATATGTTAAACACTCTAATATACATACAAATGTCCAAGCAATATCTAGATTTACATACTGTATTCCTGTACAGCCAACTGCTAAAGTAAATCTAGATTCTTAGATATCTTAACTCTGTTAACACACCCGTAAACACCTTATACATGTATATCTTACAATCCCTGTTTTATATAATCACTTATCAAATTGGTTTCACAACTGACAAGTTAGAAGGTCTATAACCTCTCAAAGGACACCTGTCTAAATACACATGTACAGAGTATACTGTACACTGATACACTGGCAAACAAGGTGTAAGGTCTATAGACACTCAGATGGAACCTGTCCAAATACACTGAGTACACCGTACTGTACACTGGCTGAAAAGGTGCAATGACTATAAATTCTCCTAATATCCAGAGTAAACTGTACACAAATACATCAGCTGACAAGGTGCAATGACTTTAATTCTCACAGGGCACCTAGCTGTCCTAATATATAGTGTATTCTGTACACAAATACATCAGCTGACAAGGTGCAATGACTATAAATTCTCACAAGGCACCTACAAGTAGCTGTCCTAATATACAGAATACATTGTACACAAAAACATCAGCTGACAAGGTGCAATGACTATAAATTCTCACAGGGCACCTAGCTGTCCTAATATATAGTGTATTCTGTACACAAATACATCAGCTGAAAAGGTGCAATGACTATAAATTCTCACAGGGCACCATAGCTATCTTCATCTACTGAGTACACTGTACACTTAAACAATGACCGATGAGGTGCAGAAAGCACCTGTCCTAGTACACAGAGTACACTGTAAAAATCACATTGACTGACAAGGTGCAATGACTGTGAATACTCGCAGGGCTAATGTCCTGAAATACAGAGTTCACAATTATATTATTGGAATTCTAAAATTCTTTCACTCTAATAATGATAAGAAAATATCTTGTCCTATATTTTCAAATTATTCATCATTTTTCTCATCATTTAGGAGTTCTGTTGTCTCTGATACTTCATTTGAGTCTTCACTTGGACGGGAATTCTCAGTCACATGCTGGTTATGGATAGAGGAATTCACTAATGGGCCATTTTCTTTGGAATGTGACACAGAATTATCATCAGCATGAGAAGAAAGACTTGGTAATGGGTCCATGTTCTGCTGCTTCTTCGCAGCCAGAAGCGAACTGGTCTCTGATTCATTGACGTCTTCATTATCATCTTCATTTACATCTTCATCATCTTCCACATCTTCCTTATCTTCCACAGATCTGACTGGACCTTCGGAGGGGGACGGAACATTTTCATCAGAAGAATCAACCTCTTCCTCTCTTGACCGATTCTGAAGGACGTGATTAGCACTTATAGAATTCACGTCACTATTCTCTTCGCACAAGTAAATATCGTCTGCAGTGACAGTTTTAGTTTCCTCAGTGAGAGATGGCCGGTCTTCTGCTGGTATACTATCATAAGTAGATTTGGCAATCTCCAGGAGTTTCTGTGACTCTCCTTTTCCAGTCTGTTGCACCATTTTATATAAATATCCATCTGTGTTTTGTAACAGAACATGGGGGTGATTATACTCCATTATCTGTCCTTCATCAAGCACCTGAGAAGTATAACAAAATTGGATGTCAATTAGAACAAGTAGTTTTCAATATATTTGGATGAAAAAATGGCATTGCTGCATACTAAGTCCTATTGGGCTATCATTAGTGTTATCTAGCTTAAAGGTACTTCTAGTAAAAATAAACCAACATTTAATTTCACCTCTTGCTCTTACATGTAATAAATAATAGCCACACATAATGCATTGTCAAATGAACTTTATATCATTTTCCTATATTTTACAATTTAGTAGGTTCAACTGAATAAAATGAAACTAAAACTTTTTAAGTGGGCTATGGTGTGAAAAAAAGGCTGTGACTGTGATTCAGGCACACAAAACATCCAAAAAATTTAATGTCCAATTTGAATGTGATGTTGCAAACATTTTAATACTTGACAACTCACCATTACTTTATCTGAGTCCATGATGGTATTGAGGCGATGTGCTATGGTAATGACTGTGCAGTGTTTAAACTTCTCACGAATGGTTTTCTGGATCAGACTGTCTGTCCTACAAATACAAGTATTGTATGGTAAAATTAAATGAGATTCTAAATATTCAGACAGTACTTTGAGCGTAAAATTATCCTTTTGTCAATGCCTGGTATGTCATGTGATACTGTAAATCACTTCTTATTTGCAAGCACTTAATTTTCACGTAATTACACAGAAACATATACTGGCAAAACTATCATTCTATCATAAAAAGAAGAAAGGGTCAAAGTCTTGAAAAACGGATATAATTTGAAGACCTCAGTCTATAATAATTAAGCCAGGTAATTGACGGTGTTTGTATAATATGTGCATTAATTAAGATTTACTTGTTTGATCCTAATCGATAATCAATTAAAAAGTTCCCCAAAATACCAACGAGTACTGTATAGCCTCCAGGTGCTTAGCTAAATAGCAGTGATAACATTGAAATACTCTCATAATACGATGCTGAAAATTTAGGCGAGGCATTTTTTACTTCTGTGAAATTTTATGGATTTATAAAACGCATCAAAATTAGTAAAAATTAGCAGCACATAAAAAATACCCGTTATACGGTATTCATATTCCTAAAGATTATACTGTCCAGTTACCTCAATTCATGAAAATTTTGTCCTGCGAATAAAAATTGTCTCTCTCACAAAAATAAGGTGACCTGAAAATTAAGATATCTACAGTAGTTAACTGAGACTGTACAAACCTTGGGTCTACACTGGCCGTGGACTAGTTAACTGAGACTGTACAAAGTTAACTGAGACTGTACAAACCTTGGGTCTACATTGGCCGTGGACTAGTTAACCGAGACTGTACAAACCTTGGGTCTACATTGGCCGTGGCCTAGTTAACTGAGACTGTACAAACCTTGGGTCTACATTGGCCGTGGCCTAGTTAACTGAGAGTGTACAAACCTTGGTTCTACATTGGCCGTGGACTAGTTAACTGAGACTGTACAAACCTTGGGTCTACACTGGCCGTGGACTAGTTAACTGAGACTGTACAAACCTTGGGTCTACATTGGCCGTGGACTAGTTAACTGAGACTGTACAAACCTTGGGTCTACATTGGCCGTGGCCTAGTTAACTGAGACTGTACAAACCTTGGGTCTACATTGGCCGTGGACTAGTTAACCGAGACTGTACAAACCTTGGGTCTACATTGGCCGTGGCCTAGTTAACCGAGACTGTACAAACCTTGGGTCTACATTGGCCGTGGACTAGTTAACTGAGACTGTACAAACCTTGGGTCTACACTGGCCGTGGCCTAGTTAACTGAGACTGTACAAACCTTGGGTCTACATTGGCCGTGGACTAGTTAACCGAGACTGTACAAACCTTGGGTCTACATTGGCCGTGGCCTAGTTAACCGAGACTGTACAAACCTTGGGTCTAAATTGGCTGTGGACTAGTTAACTGAGACTGTACAAACCTTGGGTCTACACTGGCCGTGGCCTAGTTAACTGAGACTGTACAAACCTTGGGTCTACACTGGCCGTGGCCTAGTTAACCGAGACTGTACAAACCTTGGGTCTACATTGGCCGTGGCCTAGTTAACTGAGACTGTACAAACCTTGGGTCTACATTGGCCGTGGACTAGTTAACTGAGACTGTACAAACCTTGGGTCTACACTGGCCGTGGACTAGTTAACCGAGACTGTACAAACCTTGGGTCTACATTATTTTGTTTTAGCCTAGTTAACTGAGAGTGTACAAACATTGGCCATGGCCTAGTTAACTGAAACTGTACAAATCTTGGGTCTACATTGGCCGTGGCCTAGTTAACTGAGAGTGTACAAACCTTGGGTCTACATTGGCCGTGGCCTCATCTATCATCAGGATGTGGTTCTGTCTGAGGATGGCCCTGGCCAGACAGATCAGTTGTCGCTGCCCCACACTGAAGTTTGTCCCTCCCTCAGATACCTCAGAGTCCAGTTTTCCTGGAAGATCCTCCACAGCGGGCTTTAGTTGAACCTATAGATGCATGATGATTAAAAACTTGAGCCATACATTAAGTAACTGTAATTCTCTGTGAAATCACTGCTAAAGAGTAACTGTAAATCACTTTTTATCTGTGAGAACTTTATTTTAACATAATTACACAAATGTTTCCTTGTGAAAATTTCCTTCTCCCAAATATTTTTATTAATAATAATAAAGGATATACATGTAGACAATAGTAAGAATTTGTGAATTTAAATACTATATACCCATTTTGCCAAAAAAGTTGTTGTGAATATCTTGTGATGTACAGTACTTTTTAATGAAAGTACATGTACATGTAAAATCCAATCATTTCAACTGATACACTTGTAAATGTTAAGATTCTCATAAACAGTACTGATAGAGTAATCATCTTTCACCTCTTCCAGTGCCTTCCAAAGCTGTTCATCTGTAGACTCCTCAAAGGGATCTAAGTTTTTACGTAAGGTACCAGTAAACAGAACAGGATCCTGAAAAATAGAAACACGTACATGCTGAATCAAGAAATTTCTCTATTTGTTTAAAACAGAACACAGGAAAAAACAGGTTCCCTTATTATCAAATATATCCTGTTTGACGTTCATGTATTCCTTGATAGTTTTCAAACAAAGAACTTTTTAAAATTTAAATACTGAGTAAACAAGACTCAACTATTAATTAGATGTAAGCATCCAAACAAAATACACTTACTGCAATAAAATGTAACTATCTTTTAGTTTGTTATTTGCAGAATTAACATTCACAAACATCTGTTTTACCAGCTTCACTAAGGTGTCGCTGGTAATTAAAGCTCAGTTTGCAACCGTTAAATCAGTATTAATGGTTGCAAATACCAATTTCAAATTAGAAGATAGTTATTCCCTAAACATTACAATTAATGTGCATGTATATAATTTTTATTGAATGGGTTTAAAGTATTTAAAGTTTCTTTCCATTGCATTCTTAAACCAGGTATATGACAACTGGCCTCTACCATTTACCTGAGGTATAATGGAGATTTTATTTCGCAGCTCATGGAGCCCTATTTTCTGTGTGTCCACATCATCTATGATGACTGAACCATCTATTTCTGCCATCCTGAACATCAAGCTAATCAACGAACTCTTGCCAGCCCCTGTTCGACCAACCAACCCAATCTGAATATCAGAATACATCTATATTGAGTTTTTTTTACTTTATGTATTTCAACATCAATTTGAATGTACTGTCACATTAATGTGTGCAGTTTTTCTGAAATTTAAAATTATAGTATAATATAAACTTAAAAGTTTATTTTTTCACAACCAACATAGACAACAATGGGCCATATAATAATCCTAAAACAGGTTTCATGTATGTTTCATCACAAAAATGATTTAATAAAAAAATAATTTTCTACGTACAGCAAAACTCTGTTATAACGAAGTCGCTGGGACCTATAAAATTACTTCGTTATATCAGTAATTCGTTATAACCGTATAAGAAATTCATGATATTTATACTGCTTGGGATCCAAGATGAATTCGCTATATCCGTAAATTCGCAATATCAGTGTTCGTACTAAACGAGCTTTACTGTAACAAGACACTCAGGTGTGAGTTTCAGTACACTATGCAAGTACATAAATTATTATACGTTTTTCCTATCTAATCTCAACCTAAATTAATTTTATATTTCCAAAGATAAAGTTACAAATAGTTAATGTACTTTATTTCTCCGGCCATCAATGTACTGGGTCATCGATAGGCGTGGTTAAAAAAAATCATGTGCAGGGCAGGACTATGCAAAAAGCGGGGCTTAAAATTTTGTCAAGAGCATAAATTAAGGAATACATTTTCCATTTCATGATGATGATCAATTGATTGGCTTCCGTGATAATTTTATGCATAAACGAATTCAGCATTTATGCAAATTATCATGTAACACTTAATCAATAGTTTCATAATTAATATCCATACAAATATAAATTGAGTTTCTCAATACTATCGATCCATAACTCACCTTTTCTTTCCCTTTTATAACAAAGTTTAACCCATGAAACACCCACGGGGAGTCAGGTCCGTATCTCAGTTTAGCATTTTTGGCTACAATTTTTCCGTTCTGTGGCCAGGAGGGGGGTGGGGGTTTATCAGATTCCAGCTCTGCCTCCGTGTCCAGTTTGGAATACTCTAGGACTCTCTCCACAGATATCATCTGTAACACGTCGTACAAGACGGAAATATAACAAAGTACGTACACCGTAGCAACACTAGTAAATCACACTGTATACATAAAGGATTCACTAAAAGTAATCAAAATTAGCTTTTTCTGAAATTGAGTCATCCCTCCTTTTCAATTTTCAAACAAAATTCAAGAACAAAATTCCTTGCTACTTAATATTTTATAAGTCATCCCGACTGCATGAGTCAAGTGAAATGACCTTTTACAAAACTCTATTATCCTTACATGCACACCTATACCTGTAATAATATTATTATGACCGAGTAAATTATTCCTACTGCATCATTATAAACTCTAAGAAACACACAAATTAGACAGAACTTACCTGACTCTCCACTTCAGCACTCTGTCTCACAGCCCACTGGAACAAACCCATCAAGGTCATGGCATAGGTCATCAACAGACCTACCAATCCAGCATCCAGCTCTGAAGACATTATTATTTGTCAGTCATAATATATATGATATGATAATGATTTTGACCACAAATTACATTGTACATAGACATGACTATTTTATTTTACTACCATGAATACAAATGTTGACACTTCTTTGATCATTTCATGTTTAAATTATTATTTTCTCACATTATTAATATGATTAAAATCAGATATCTCTTTAGATCTTGATCCGAATGACCAATAGCATTTTGGAGTTAAATGTAGAACTGATTTAAATCTGATTGTCAGTGTATCATGGATTAGCTTTTACGGCAAAAAAAAATTATAAATACTAAAATAAAAGTGTTCAAAGCACAATCTATCACTCTAATGCCTTTTTGAACCAACCTTGTGCTAGAAAGACGCAGGCAAAAGAGACAGCAGTGACAAAGATGGCACACATCCAGTCAAGTCGGACGGCAAGCCATCGACTGGAGGACAGGAAGAGGAACCAGGACTCCGTGTGGAGGTTCTGATGATTGTCAAACTCCTCACAGAATTTCTCCTGGACGCGAAGGGCTCGAATTGTGTGCAGGCCCTGAAGGGAGGCACTCAGGTGGGAAAATACTGGACTACGTGCTGGGAGAAAAAGATTTACAACCTTGGTAATACACACAATGACTCTAAAAAAAAGTTAATAAAATGAACATGTTGTAAGTCACAGCCATATTGCTAAGTTATAATTGTGCTTTATCAGCCAATTACAACTCACAAATGCATCATAGTATTAATCAGCCATAACAGCTGCCTTAAAACTTTATAGCTATACAAAGCTAATGCTTGAAATTACTTCTAATATATGAATCTGTTTAACTAGACTTGGTGTTATATGTACCAAGTGTTGTGGTACCAATTATTATTATATAGACAGTATAAATTACTAATGTCAGTAAGTGAAAAAATTTCCTTTACTTATGCCTTACTGACAGTATATTATTAACTTGAACTTACTTGTGCCTTCAAGTCTTTTGATGTGCCTGGAGGTTGTGATATGATATCTACGCGTCACATATAGTAAAACTGCAATGGGTACCAGTATAATGAAGACGTACGGAATAATGGCTACCACCACAATAACAATGCCCAGGAGAAGCAGGACACACTGTGTAATAAATACACATTCAGAGTAAACAGTTAACCAGAGTCAGACTAAACGCATAGATTATTAATTGTATAATGCTCATTCAGAATTACTTAGTTACCATGTTAAGCACAGACTTCATTAAGTTAACTTTGAACTTTGACTTTTTACACTGACCTGTATGTAATCGAAGAATGTGATAGGTAGATTATCATCCATGTGACCTGTGTCTTTTGAAAAACGATTTAAAACCCTTCCTAAAATAAGAACACAAAAAAATTCAGATATATCTGAAACTTGTAAATATGAAACCCTATACATGTGTGTAAATCATAATAGTTACTGTGAAATCACTAATTTTTGTGGGGGTTTAATTTTCTATGTTTTCGAGACAAGGAGATTTCCACGAATTTATGACCACCACGAAATGTAAAATTTGATATACATTTCTACTAAAACATTCTCCATCCACAAAATTAAGTCCCCACAAACCAAAATTTCTTCCTAAAACCTCGAAAATTTGACCCCACGAAAATATAGCCAGGAATAAATCTAATTTTTGCAAATAAAAATTAAAACTTTCTAGCACTCTTAATAAGAAAACAATATGTCACAATCAAAGTCTTTCTGGAGCTCCTTACCTACAGGATTTATGTCGAAGAATCTGATTGGTGCTCTGAGGAGCCTTTTAAACATCCTGTTATGTAAAATCATTGCTGCATCCACGGCAACCTTGAAATACATCAAAGCCCTGAGTAATCCAAAGAGGAACACGGAAAATATAATTCCAGAGAAGATGTAGACATTAAAATCTGTGTCGCTGTCTGGGATGGTGATATTCGTGTTGTTAATTCCCTGGGATCTTAAGACAGAATCCTTTTGAATAAGGTCCTCTCTCCTCTCCTCATTGTTTGACCTTAAATTTATGTTTTACATTAATTTAATATATATTCCTGCATAATCATGAAAATAACTACAATTATAATATTTGTCACTTGAACAGAAAGAGGTATTTAATTTTTCAATTTCTTTTCGTGGACATTAGAATTTTTTCAAAGTGAACTATAAGCTTGACATGCAGGACTTACTGCTAGAGAAAAACTGTTTAACTCTGTATTAAAGATTTAATCTTAGAAGCCCTAAGAAATTACATGCCTTTTCTTAAATTATTATTTATCGATTTCAAGTATAAGAATGTAAATTAAAAACACTGAGAATACCAATGAAACATCTGAATAAAATAACCTTTCCAAGATCTTTTGAATTTATTAAAATTAAATATATGTACATGCAATTATTATTTTCCTTTAAAATTATAAAAATTACTATTGACTGTACATGAATGATTGTATTAACAAGATATGCTGAATACTAACCATCTTGCTAGCCACCAGTCGCTCATGATATAGGCAGCCTGGGCCACCAAATTAACAAGCACCAGTAAAGGAAACTTAATCGGACCTGACCCAGCCTGGAAATATCGGAAATACACCCACCAACCCACTCTCCCTTCTCTACGCTCTTCTTCTTCTGGCTGCTTAACTGGATCAGGCTTTTAATAAAAAAAAAAGCTAAAATGCTTTAAAAGTACAAATTTTTTTTGCATGCTTAAAGTAATTTTACAATAGCTAATGTTCAGGTGTCCAGTTCTTGGTGTTTTTTTTTTTTTTGGAGTAATGAGAAAATTTTATTTCTAGTTCAAACTATCAGCCTGGGGGTAATTGAAAGAAAAAATCCAAAAAGTCTAAACAGGAGGGGTTAAGACAAATGCTTTAAGAAATATTTATTTAATATTTATTTTGTTGATTCTTTTTACATGTAGTTGTGAATGCAAATCATATGTTTTGCAAAGTGAAATTTACTTCAAACTCTGTCCCAATGGAAGTCAGTGACATCGTGGACCCAATGTTCTGTAAGCTAGAGTGTGTGCGATCCACACTAGTGGCTCTCTCATATTTAACAACAGGAGGTTTCTCTTTTTCTTCCTCCTCATTTGATTTCAACAGTGAGGAAAAGTCTATTCCTGAGGTAGAAATGTCATCAAAGGTTCCCTTTCCAAGACACTGGCCCTGTTAGGAATAAGAAAAGGTAGAGCATATTACTCATTCAAATTCGCAAGTTAAATGTAACTGTTTGAATTACACTCCTCTTATGATCATAAAAGATGGTATTACATGGATATTGATATGCTTGCAATGAAATTCTACCTCTTTTAAAATGATGATTTCATCTGCTTCTTTCAGAAAGTGAAGTTGATGAGTGACAAGAATTCGTGGTTTGTATTTCAACATTCCTTTAATCACCCTGCAAAAATTTTATTCACCACATCAACAAATATATCTTCCATATGTTCCACAACTGCATACAAATCTTGTCATTATCTTGTTATCTCGAACTTCATGGGACTGAGAAAAAGCTTCAAACAACACGTATCTAAGAATTCATTGACCACTTATCATGGGTAAAAAAGATAAAAAGATGGGACTTCAAAATCAATATCCATGGTGTTCTAGATATCGAAATTCAACAGTACTTGTATATAAAGAACAAGATGCTTTATTACAGTAATTGTCCCAAGCAGTAGGTTTTAACATTATTTTAGAGATAATTCACAATTAGCCAAATGACCTACTTTTGAAAGAGGTGACGACTGACCACTGCATCTACTGCACTCAATGGGTCGTCTAGTAAGTAAACATCTGCATCCATATACAGGGCTCTAGCTAAACTGACCCTTGCCCTTTGACCTCCACTTAGGCTGACCCCTCTATCTCCAATTAGAGTGCTATCTCCATTTGGCATCACTTCAATGTCCTAAAAATATATCACACAAAATTACATGTGTTTTAAAATGCCTAAAGTATTCAATTTCAAATCATATAACAAATCTGCAACAACTATTTATCACAGTGACTATGCTTTGTTTGTGCATACAAGAAAAAAGTTTGAAAGAGAACAAAATATAGTCAAACATTTTACAAACTGATATTATTTAGAAAAAAAATTGTACTTTACTGTTTACTTATTACATGTACATGTAGTTTAAAGTGTCCATAACCGGTATGTTACTGTACCCTGTACCATTTTAATACATGAACAGTACTATAGAATCGTAAATATGTGACTTGTAAAGAATTTATTATTGGGACTTTCGAGGAATTTATTATTGCGTAAATTTGCGAGAAGCACCAATGAACATTGATTAATTATGTTACACCAATTACCTTATCTAATGCACAAGCCTTTATGATTTTAATGTAGCGGGCATTGTCAAACTTGTTTCCAAACACAATATTTTGTCGGAGACTGGCAGAAAAGACCCAGGGCTGCTGGGATACGTAGGATATCTTGCCGCGGACTTGAACGCTTCCTTCCGACACTGGTAACTCCCGGAGAATGCTCATCAATAGGGAAGACTAAAAAAGATTTCTTAAATTTTCAACAGCATAAGAAAGAGGATAACAAAGTTGACATCACATTCATCCTTATCTACAATTAACAATTTGAAATTAAAGTCTTTATTTGTTCATATTCAGGTATTTGAATACTGTACTACACAAGTTTCAGCATTAAGTAACAATTTATAAAAGCTTTAACCTAAATTTCCTTCATTATCATTTAAAATAATATTTTATCACTCTTATGTGAATTCAATGTTTCTCTGTTATAACATTTCAGTTCAAAATTGTCATTTCACAGAAGCTGCCAAATTAAGTGATACTACAATCATTTCGTCAGAGTTACATTTTTTTGCATTAATTAACTCTGTCCTTGTAAAACTCAGACAGCTATAAGGCTTTAGTCAAATGTATGCACTAGAAAGATCCAGTACATTCAGTTCTTGTATGCTGTCTTACTTTTCCAGCACCAACAGGTCCAATAACAGCTAACAGTTTCCTTGGCCCCACTTTGGCAGAGATGTTACTCAATGTGGGCTGCTCAGAGTCCTGTGATAAGAAATTAAAATTTTACACACAAACTTTTTTTTCTGCATTTATAAAATATACCTTAGGGTGTTTACATTTCTTTTGTCATAATAGAAGAGAAAATGCATACTGACCGTGTCCCATCTGGCAGTGATTTTGTCCACCTCTATGAAACAGTTCTCAGGTTTTGGTCGTAATCCAGACGCTTCCTCAATAGAGCCCTGATCAAGTTCATCCAGCTGAAGGAATTTCTATAATAAAGCAAAGACTAAATATTTAAAACATGTTCTAGAAAGTCATTAATTAAAAGCTTGATGCCATTTGACATAGAAATTTTTTTTTGACAAAAGTTTATTTTCCATGTAGTCACAAGATTGTCTGCTGACTAAAATTTTATTTTAGTGCATTAATAATATAATTATTAAAGGTTATACACATCCAAAATTTGTAAAAATTTTGTCTCTCTTGTAAATACCAAATATCTATCTCAGGAAAATAAAGTGTCGCAAAAATTTTTGGGTCTAAGGAATATTGACATTTATATGTATAGGAATTCATATATCTGATTAGGGTTAAGACATAGAATCCTTATACAGACTTGTTTACCTATATTGTTGTCTCTCAATATTTTTTATTAGATTTCTCTGTGAGATTTTGCATTTGCCAGTAAGATTTAACTTTCCATCGATATTAAAAGAGAACAACTCGCTGTTTTAATGATTGCAAAAACTTGGTATATTAAACATACCGGTCTTTGTCATTTTATAATGCCACAGCGTTTTGGCAACCCCACATCACTTAAGTGTTTGAAATTTTTTTTTTAGCTATTCAAACGTGTGAAACGAAGACAGATCATATCAAAAACTAACTGCTAAATTCCAAACAAATGTATTTCTGATTTCCGTATTTTCATAATAGCAAAACTTGAGACGTATTTTAAACTTAAAATCCATACAAAATATGGTGAAATTGTAAGAGTAAACAGGTCTGCTTATATTTAATTAATTTTCTTTATATCTCCTTTCACTAATCATTTTAAGTTATTAAAATAATGGAAGGTCAAATTATATATAATCATTATTTTGTTATTGTCAGTATAATTTTCTTTTTGTTTCAGAATGAGTGATTCCAAAGAAGGCAAGGAAGCACCACAAGGTCTATTTCTTTTACTAATTATAAGTAATAATTAATGAACCCAGACTTCAATTAATTAAGTTAAAGAAGAAAGGTACAATCCAAATGCTAATTTAATGGGAATAATGAAGTCCTCAGAAAAAGAATAAATGATACCATTAAATTATGTGTGGCATGCTATATAAATAATGGTCAATTTGATATTACAGCAACTGCTTAAATTATATATAATTCACAATGGTCACTGAATGCAAGCATCAACAATTCTAAAGGTATACCAGTATGAAATTTTTAATTTTTGCTAACAAACAGCTAACACAATTTAGACAGACAGACCCTAAAACTATATGCACCAAATCAACAATTAAGGGGGCATTGGGAAAAGATAAATGTCTACCCAAATGCAGAAAATTAAACCACATCTATGATTTTTAAGTCAGAACACTAATTTATAAAATCAGATTTTTCTGAAAACTTATTGTCACTGAGGGAGGAATGTGACAGTCAGATGAGTTCCATTGCCGCTGGTCAGATAGCTCAGTTTGTAAAGCACCTGACTGGGGGTCTGGTCTCAAATAAAGGCTTGAATCCCATCTTGTGTGCTGCATTTTTCTCCTCTCCTGTTACAGAGTTCTTATATCTTTTAATGTTACAACTATTCAGCTATTTTTGTAACTCTATGCATTATATTCTATTTTCACTCACATGTATTTTAGTAAATTAAATTTTTAACATTCCAGCTAGTTCACTGATGCAATAAACATGATAGCATCCGTACTCACAGTATATCTCATCAATGAATATTTCAGATCATTGCACTTAAACTTCTGGTACCCTTAATTTAAACAGCAGCAATGTTAGGCAATTTAAAAATTATAATACTACAAGCTTTAGTTCTAATTATGAGGCAACAATACACAACTCTGCACCAGTGTATTGTAAAAACTACAGAACTGCTAGAAATGCAGTTTCTTAAAACTTCTATACATTATGTAATTTTTCGAAAATGAAACCAACAAATTTTTTGTACCATGTAGTTCTTACCTTTAACCGATTTAACGTAGTCACAGTTTCACTTGCTCTTGAGATAGCTAAGAATAGACATCCTAAAATAGTGTGTGTCAAAGCAAACAACAAGGCCAGAGAGACGTAGAGGCGTTCTGGCCGTAGAGTGACCCCGGACAGAACTGATGGGATGACCACAGCCATATACATGAGACGAGGACCTACTGTCCACACAGAGGCATGAAATCCTGAGATGTACTTGGACTGGCGTATGTAGGTTAATTCACATCTACAAATCAGGGCACAAATTGAGTGCCAACTCCCAAATATTATACTTTACCAATGCTCAGCTTGCATGCTTCTAAAGAGTAAAGAGAAAAATAGAGTCTAGCTCTACATTTGATTAAATCATTTTTGCAAGAGTCCCTAAGCTAGCTCGTATGATTTCAGGAATATTAGTTTCATATACTTGCATTATTTTCAACTGACCTTGTCTTCATGACCTTTTAAGTGACCTTGGTCACATGACCTTCTAACTGTCCTTGTCCACATGACCTTTTGTAAGGTTTCAACCTGATCAACATGATTAATAAATAAACTTAAATAACATTCAGAACAAATCTATAAACTTCAATTCTATTATCTTTCTTAGTTATGAAGTCATGGAATAGACAACATTAGATGTCGTGCTTCATATTTCAGCGACCTTGACTGGACATAATTTTACCTGGACTAAAAACAAGAGGCCCAGGGGCCACATCGCTCACCTGAGCAATTGGCTAGGAAACAAGAGGCCCATGGGCCACATCGCTCACCTGAGCACCAAGGGTAGGACTAGTATAAAATGGCTTTTTATTGTAAAGTTTAAATCCAAAAGTAGTTGACCAATCATGGATTTGCTATTTTTTAGAAAATGATTGAGAAGAAGATTTTTAAAGAATTTTCCTATATATTTCTATGTAAAACTTTTGTCGGCCATTTTGGCCCCGCCCTTGATTTGAACAAACTTGAATCTACACTACCTGAGCATGCTTCCATATAAATATGATGAATTATGGCTTTGTCATTCTTTTTTTAAAGAATTTTCCTATATATTTCTATGTAAAACTTTGGTCGGCCATTTTGACCCCGCCCTACCCCCGGGGGTCATGATTTGAACAAACTTGAATCAACACTACATGAGCATGCTTCCATATATATATGATGAATTATGGCTTTGTCATTCTTGAGAAGAAGATTTTTAAAGAATTTTCCTATATATTTCTATGTAAAACTTTGGTCGGCCATTTTGGCCCCGCTCTACCCCCGGGGGTCATGATTGAATTGAATATACACTACCTGAACATGCTTCCATATAAATATGATGAATAATGGCTTTGTCATTCTTGAGAAGAAGATTTTTAAAGAATTTTCCTATATATTTCTATGTAAAACATTGCATTTTGGCCCCGCCCTAAGGGTCATGATTTGAACAAACTTGAATCTACACTACCTGAGCATGCTTCCATATAAATATGATGAATTATGGCTTTGTCATTCTTGAGAAGAAGATTTTTAAAGAATTTTCCTATAATTTTCTATGTAAAACTTTGTCCCCGCCCTACCCCCAGGGGTCATGATTTGAACAAACTTGTCTACACTACCTGAGCAATATAAATAATTTTTTGTCATTCTTGAGATTTTTTTTTCCTATATATTTCTATGTAAAACATTGGTCGGCCATTTTGGTTAATCATATTTGAACAAAATTGAATCTACACTACATGAGCATGCTCCCATATAAATATGATGAATTATGGCTTTGTCATTCTTGAGAAGAAGATTTTTAAAGAATTTTCCTATATATTTCTATGTAAAACTTTGCGGCCATTTTGGCCCCGCCCTACCCCCGGGGGTCATGATTTGAACAAACTTGAATCTACACTACCTGAGGATGATTCCCCATAAGTTTCATCTTTCCTGGCACAGTGGTTCTTGAGAAGAAGATTTTTAAAATATACCACTAAATTTTCATTAATTACCAATTATCTCCCCTTGAATAAGGGCGTGGCTCTTCATTTGAACAAACTTAATCCCCTTCACCCAAGGATACTTTGTGGCAAGTTTGGTTGAAATTTTTTTGATCGAAAATGTGAAAAGTTTACAGACAGATAGACGGACAGACATACGGACAGATAGACGGACAGACAAACGGACGCCGGACAAAATGTGATCAGAAAAGCTCACTTGAGCTCAGCTCAGGTGAGCTAAAAACACAGATCTGAAATTTAATTTGCAAACTTGAATCTACATACCTGAGGATGATTCCCTATAAATATAACAAAGCCTGGCTTTGAAGTACTTGAAAAGAAGATTTTAAAAGGTTTCCCTATATGTTCCTATGTAAAACTTTGATCCGCCATTTTGGCCCCACCCTACCCCCGGGGATCATGATTTGAACAAACTTGAATCTACACTACCTGAAGATGATTCCACATGAGTTTAATCTTTCCTGGCCCAGTGGTTCTTGAGAAGAAGATTTTTAAAGATTTTTCCTATATATGCCTATGTAAAAATTTGTCGGCCATTTTGGCCCCACCCTACCCCCGGGGGTCATGATTTGAACAAACTTGATTTAGAAAGCCACATGATTTTATTTCCTGGCCCAGTGGTTCTTGAGAAGAAGATTTTTAAAGATTTTTCCTATATATTCCTTTGTAAAACTGTTTAAATGATAACAAACTTGAATCTACACTACCTGAGGATGATTCCATATATACTTTCCTGGCCCAGTGGTTCTTGAGTTTTTAAAGATTTTTCCTATATATGCCTATGTAAAACTTTGGATTTTGCACACCCTTGGGGGTCATGATTTGAACAAACTTGAATCTACACTACCTGAGGATGATCCCACATGAGTTTCATCTTTCCTGGCCCAGTGGTTCTTGAGAAGAAGATTTTTAAAGATTTTTTTCTATATATTCCTATGTAAAACTTTAAAGCCATTTTGGCCCCACTCAAATTTGAACAAATTTAAATCTACACTAAATATTCAACATGAGTTTCATCTTTCCTGGCCCAGTGGTTTTGAAAGAAGATATATAATTTTTTTCTAATTCATAATTATAAAAGGGCCTGGCCCTTCATTTGAACAAACTTGAATCCCATTAACCAATGGATAATTTGTACCAAGTTTGGTTGAAATTGGCCCAGTGGTTCTTGAGAAGAAGATGAAAATGGGAAAAGTTTACGACAACGACAACAACAACGACAACGACGACAGACAACGGACAAATTTTGATCAGAAAAGCTCACTTGAGCCTTCGGCTCAGGTAAGTTAAAAAAGCTGAGAATTTGATACATGTCTGTGTTCCTACTAAGAGAATTTACTGTAAAGCCTTTCTGTTGCAAGTTCATTCAAGTCAAAACAATGAATCAGTGTTCTTTTCCATTCTCTCATTGACTGACTGCTTTTAATGACAGAAGATTAAGATACTGTATTACATTACAAAACTCAATATTTGAACCTATTCCAATTATTGTGATCTTGTTACAAGGGTATGTCGCTTTACAAGCATGGTTAATACTGACAAAGAATTGGCAAACTGAAATATCACATCAAGACCATAGAACACAATTTTCAACAGGTTTGTCTAATGCAAGTATAACAAAATAATTTTTTAGCAATTTTTTTATATAGCCTGGTTAATATAGGAACAATGCATACATGTAAGCAGGAATAAGCTAGGCAGCTGGAGCATAATATTCATGATTTACATGTATAAAACAAATTAACTTCACTAGCTGCTCTGTTTATAATGTTTTAGAGTGACATTTTTTTAATGCAAAATTTGAGACTGCAACTGAGAGATCATCTGAAATTTAATTGGCATGTGATCTAATAGTTTGTTAGTTATACATTTTAATGTACTTCAATGAAGTCATACCACTCAAGCAGGCCAGTACAAGAAAACAGAAGGAAATCTTGATGCAGCTAGAGTCTGCTTTAGGTCAGTAGAATGATTTAGAAAGCGGATTTTATTTCTATGCCGATCTGATCTTATCTAAATGTTTAAATTAATTCTCCAGGGATTATATTTACATGTAGTTGTTTGGTAGGATTGCACACTAGAACACAGTATTAGACTGTATAAATTAGTTGCTTCAAAATAACTGGTAAAACGTTTAAAGCCAGTACTCAAATTGGCATTTGTCTCCAAATATTTGAAAATTTTTGAAAATATATAATAATTATAATTTAAAGTTCAGTTTAAGAGTATCAATTAAATGTTATTTGAAATACCAATTAAAGTTGCATATTATGGTTCTTTCAATATATTGATTAAACATAGCAATACATGCAGCCCTAAAATCTTACTACTTTTAAGCTTAATTATGTATCATGAATGGTAATTGAAAAATTAATGATTTTATTTGTTCTCTGATTGATCATATATTGTAAGAGAAGATACATGTACCCTCTCTGTAATAACCTAACTTGTAAAAATTACAACTTTTCAGTTTGGATTAAAAGTCACCACTGTATGCAATTATACCAGGGAGACAATCAATTAAGGAATATGTTTTTCAGTTTTGTGTGAGTCATATGTGCGTGAATCACACAGACTTGTCACGTAGGCATATTTCATGAAGCGCACTAGCGCTTCATGAAAAATATGCCTACGTGCAAGTCTGTGAGATTCACACACCAATAATTCACACTAAACTGAAAAACATTCCTTATATTCACATTTTTACATGTTTGGAAGCAACTAAAATATACTCCATATTTGAATTTCTCGCTGCCCTATATCGCTGCATTTTTACTAACATCGCTGCAGCCTCATTGTGACATCACATTAACGCACGTTTCTCCATGTATATTTCTATGCGTGAGTATATACAGTTACACAAAAATGACTTTCAAATCAATTTCACAGTTGGCTTGGTAGAAAAACACAGCAAATGTAAATAATATCATATGAAGACATTAAGTTACACAGTTAACAGCATTGATCTGAAATACCTTGTTGATGAAAAGCATTGCTGAGGTTTAAAACCTGTATTATCTTGAGCTTCTGAAGAGATCAAATTCAGCTCTGTGGGATGGTCTCAATTAAATGAATCACAAAAAAAGATTTCCTATTTGTGTCTGCAGATGAGTTAAGCTCTCCATGGTGAATTAGTTGATGACAAATATTAAGGGAGAAATACCAGTTTCTTATAGACCAGATTGAATAATGGTACTATATTTTTCCTATCTGTTAATATTTGATTTCAAAATAGAATCCATGCCTTAATTAAATAATAAAATATTACTCCCTAAATGACAATTTTATGTAAAGCACATTTATTTAGTAATGTTTTCATCCAACCAATTTCTGTCATGATATCAACAGAATGCAATATTCCAAAAAAAGTATTCACAAGAAAATTTCAACAAATGTTCAATGTTTCTCTACAGATATGTCCAGGACATGACCTAACAACTTGAGAGACTAACAGCTAAGTTAGTGAATCAACATTCAAATATTTGCCCTAAAAGCCATTTTGATAGGAGGCAAATTCAGGGTATGAGGAACATGATATACAAGTAACTACTTCCGAAGGCATGGCCCATGTGGTGCAGTGGTATGAGTGTCTGCTCTAGAGTCAGGGAGTAAGGAGTTGATCCTTATGTAACTGGTTCAAATCCCTTTGTGGGACATGGAGACCACTCCTTTGGGTGAGACTGTATAAACCGAGGTCCCCTGTCACAATGGTTGCTCGAACAAAAAAGATTCTTCACTGCTCAATGGCCCTGAGTGCCGAGTATAGGATAAAATTTGTAGCTCTCCACCGGAAAGTGGTGGTGTCTCCATATGAGTGAAAAATTCTCAAGAGGGACATAAAACAATATACAAATGATCAATCAATTTTCTTGTCAATGAATAGGTAAAATATTTTCAGCTCTCCACCGGCAAGTGGTGGTGTCTAGATATGAGTGAAATATTATCAAAAGGGATGTTAAATAACAATCAACATACTTCTCCAGTCTATAACACTTTTCATACTTGATCATGTGATCTAGTTTGAGCCAATCAGATAGGTGGCAACAATAAAGAAAAATAATAATTTGGAATATACAACATCCAGATTAGACAAGTTTTACTGTAAATTTTTAAGTTTACATACTGTACAACTCTTAGTTCTTTACAGTGTACAAAACTTTTGACCTCTTTTTGAAGTACTTTGTATTTTCTGTGTGAGGCCTGATGACCAAAACAAGAAAAAAACAAAATTGTCCCAGACAACATCAAAAAAAGTTATTTTTACAGTAGACATTCACTAACCTGGAGTCTTTCAACTGTAACCCTGCTCTCAGACAAAAACTGGAAGGCAAATGGGATAAAGAGGGTGGTGGATAAGCGAACGGCCTGGTAAAGGGCGATAGTAATGAAAACCTTCTCGGCCGTCATGGCCCCTCCCGTGTAGACATAAATCACAAAGGTCAGGAAGATTACAAACTTAATGGAGACTAAGAAGGGTCCTAAAATTAGGGCTCGTATGTTACTGCTCATTCTAATGCGATCAGTTTCAAGCCTGGAAGAATAAAAAGTACGAAAAATGTGATCAGTGATGGAACTAATTTTACACATTTAAAAGAAATGATGAAAGAAAACAATGTTTTTAAAATTGGAGCCCAAAACTCTATAAAGTTTTTAAAATGTTATTTTTGGCATATGGTTAAATAAATTTTTCAACATGGAATGATGCAGCTTTATCAAATCTTCCAAAATGAGATCATATTGACCTACTCTTGGGTTGCAATGTTCAGTAAAATGAGATCATAGTGTCCTATTTATGGGTTGCAACACGACTTTTCCAAATGTAAGAAATGACATGGTTTGATGTTTCTAGGCTTTAAAGTGTAAATGATATGATCCAAACACCAAAAATCTGGATGAATGGGATGCCCTGGACCATAATTTAGATCATCCAAAAAAAAAGAAAAAGAAAGAAATACAAATGTGCATCTTAGATGTAATATCATAAACTGTGTCATTATTGGACAAATTAAACATTAAAATGTGTCTATTAAACTCCACTGTTATGATCAAAAGATAACAAATAATTTTACCCAGAGGAAGGTATTGTCATAAGGAAAACACCTGCGAAATATGATGAATATGGAGGCCCTAGCACCATGCAATCATTCCAAAGTTACAGCTAAGGTTAAAGTTTTTAAAAGAAGGTAAAACTCCAAGGACAAAATTAGTGGTCCTCAAGGGGAGGTCTTCACATAAAGAATATATATATATATTTGAAAAATGAGAGCCTTATCTAGCACCAATTGTTCGAAATCCAGTCAAAGCACCCCCTAATAAAATCATCCCGGTCAAAGCGTCCCCTGATTTTGGTCAAAATGCCCCCCGATTTTGGTCAAAGCGCCCCTTATAGAATTTTACAGTAAAATGATGCTACAAAACTGCCCCCAAATATTGGTCGAAGCATCCCCTGATTATAGTCAATGTGCCCCCTGATTTTGGTCAAAGCGCCCCCTTACATTTTTTTCTTGGAAAAAATCGTCTGGGAATCCCCAACCAATGGTCAAAACGTCCCCGATTTTGATCAAAGCATCTCCTGATTTTTGGTCAAGGCGCCCCCTAATATATTTTTACAATCATATTACGGAATAAAACTGTTTTGCATTTATAATATTATCATTGTTTTGCAGTTACCTGAAAAAAGTTTTAAAAAATATATTAGGGGGCGCTTTGACCAAAACCAGGGGATGCTTTGACAATTTCTTGGGGACAGTAAAGATTTGTTTACATGAAGATATTTTTTTCTATAAAAATATGTTAGGGGGCACTTTGACCAAAATCGGGGGCGCTTTGACTAAAATCAGGGGATGCTTTGCCCAATATTTGGGGGCGTATTTTTTCTATAAAAATATGTAAGGGGGCGCTTTGACCAAAATCATGGGGTGCTTTGACTAAAATCAGGGGATGCTTTGACTGAAATTAGGGGACGCTTTGACCGGGACGTTTTTATTACGGGGCGCTTTGACTGGCAGATTAACAAAAGTATAGCCAAGATTAAAGTTTTTTGAAGTAGGTCTACGTCAAACTCCACGTGCAATTTCAAAGGGTGAAAATTCATGAACCCAAGGGAAGGTGTTGTCAAATGAAAAATACCCATGAAACATAAAAGTCCTATCTGTGACAAGTCAAAAGATATGGCCACTATTTAAGTATTTCAAAGGAGGCCAAACTCCAAGGTCAACGTCAATTTAAAGGGTGAAAATTAAGGGATGGCCTAGTCAAAGGGATCAAATGACCAGAGAAAATATTAAAAAACCCTAGCACTAACAATTCAAAAGTATTGGCCAAAGTTAAAAGATTTTTAAAGGTTAAACTCCTAGGTCAAGGTCAAAAGGTCAAAAAGACTTGTACCAAAGAGATGACCTAATCACACAAAATATACATTTGAAGTATCAATGATCTAGCTGCTAAGCATAAAAAAATACCAATATTATTTGTGAATGAAAATGTGCTGGTATCTACATATTGGAAATTAAACCATATCAGTGTAATAAAAAAAAACATAGGTAATCAGAGATTACAGAGCTCACCTCAACGTGTGTTGTCTTTAAGTAAGGCAAATTAAGTCACACAATTAACCAACAAAAAGTATACATCCAAAAATGCAAAATTTATGCAATTTTGATACTTTGGAATACACCTATATAAAAACTAAAAACTAGTTCTTCATCATGAAAATGTAATTAAAATCCAGCATCTGAAGCAAGATTGAAAGTTTTCATCCCTTGATGCATCATTTAAGCAACTGGTTTATATAAGCTTTATAGTTTCTTGGTGATAGACTTGCACCAATAACTTTTACGAGGTCTATTATCTGGAAAATGTATGTCGAATTTAGCATCTGAAGCAAGTCCATTAGTGTGCATCCTAAGATGTATCATCCATGCAAGTTTGGTCAACATAGGGCTTAAAGTTACTTGCAAATGAAACCTGTATAAAATAATTAACCTTTCCACTAATCCAGAAAATGTAGGTCAGATTCAGCATCCGATAGTAGAATGCATCCTTTGATGTACCATCCATGCAAGTTTGGTCATTATAGGGCTCAAAGTTACTTGGAAATGAATCCTGCACCAAAAAACTTTAACCTGTTCACTCGTCCAGAAAATGTAGGTCAGATTCAGCATCCGAAGCAAGTTTGGTAGTATGCATCCTAAGATGTACCATCCAGGCAAGTTTAGTCATTATAGGGTTCATAGTACACTGTACCTTGAAAATGAAACCTTCAGCAAAAACTTTAACCTGTTCACTCAACCGGAAAATGTAGGTCAGATTCAGCATCCGAAGCAAGGCTGGTAGTATGCATCCTAAGATGTATCATCCATGTAAGTTTGGTCATGATATGTCTCATAGTAACTTGGAAATGAAACCTGCATCAAAAACTTTAACCTGTTCACTCAACCAGAAAATGTAGGTCAGATTCAGCATCCGAAGCAAGTCTAGTAGAATACATCCTAAGATGTACCATCCATGCAAGTTTGGTCATTATAGGCCTCAAAGTATCTTCGAAATGAAATCTTCACCAAAAACTTTAGCCTGTTCACTCAACCAGAAAATGTAGGTCAGATTCAGCATCCGAAGCAAAGCTGGTAGTATGCATCCTAAGATGTATCATCCATGTAAGTTTGGTCATGATATGTCTCATAGTAACTTGGAAATGAAACCTGCACCAAAAACTTTAACCTGTTCACTCAACCGGAAAATGTAGGTCAGATTCAGCATCCGAAGCAAGGCTGGTAGTATGCATCCTAAGATGTATCATCCATGTAAGTTTGGTCAACATAGGGCTTTAGTTACTCGGAAATGAACCTACACCAAAAACTGCACCAAAAATGTTAACCTGCACCAAAAACATTAACCTGGTCATTCCTTTGCTGAAATTGCAGCATCTGAAACTTTGACTGGTACAATGAAACACACTAGCAACATCTTCCATGCATGTCTAATCAATATAGGACATAGAAGTACTTAAAAAGAAAACTGCTCCAAAAAACTTAACCTTAACCCGGGACGCCGACGCCGACGCCGATATCACATGAACCCAGGTGAGCTAATAATCAGAGATTACAGAGCTCACCTCAACGTGTGTTGTCTTTAAGTAAGGCAAATTAAGTCACACAATTAACCAACAAAAAGTATACATCCAAAAATGCAAAATTTATGCAATTTTGATACTTTGGAATACACCTATATAAAAACTAAAAACTAGTTCTTCATCATGAAAATGTAATTAAAATCCAGCATCTGAAGCAAGATTGTTTTCAAATCATTTAAGCAACTGGTTTATATAAGCTTTATAGTTTCTTGGTGATAGACTTGCACCAATAACTTTTACGAGGTCTATTATCTGGAAAATGTATGTCGAATTTAGCATCTGAAGCAAGTCCATTAGTGTGCATCCTAAGATGTATCATCCATGCAAGTTTGGTCAACATAGGGCTTAAAGTTACTTGCAAATGAAACCTGTATAAAATAATTAACCTTTCCACTAATCCAGAAAATGTAGGTCAGATTCAGCATGGAATGCACCCTTAGTGTACCATCCATGCAAGTTTGGTCATTATAGGGCTCAAAGTTACTTGGAAATGAATCCTGCACCAAAAACTTTAACCTGTTCACTCAACCGGAAAATGTAGGTCAGATTCAGCATCCGAAGCAAGTTTGGTAGTATGCATCCTAAGATGTACCATCCATGCAATTTAGTCATTATAGGGTTCATAGTACACTGTACCTTGAAAATGAAACCTTCAGCAAAAACTTTAACCTGTTCACTCAACCGGAAAATGTAGGTCAGATTCAGCATCCGAAGCAAGGCTGGTAGATTTAAGATGTATCATCCATGTAAGTTTGGTCATGATATGTCTCATAGTAACTTGGAAATGAAACCTGCATCAAAAACTAACCTGTTCACTCAACCAGAAAATGTAGGTCAGATTCAGCATCCGAAGCAAGTCTAGTAGAATACATCCTAAGATGTACCATCCATGCAAGTTTGGTCATTATAGGCCTCAAAGTATCACTTCACAAAAACTTTAGCCTGTTCACTCAACCAGAAAATGTAGGTCAGATTCAGCATCCGAAGCAAAGCTGGTAGTATGCATCCTAAGATGTATCATCCATGTAAGTTTGGTCATGATATGTCTCATAGTAACTTGGAAATGAAACCTGCACCAAAAACTTTAACCTGTTCACTCAACCGGAAAATGTAGGTCAGATTCAGCATCCGAAGCAAGGCTGGTAGTATGCATCCTAAGATGTATCATCCATGTAAGTTTGGTCAACATAGGGCTTATAGTTACTCGGAAATGAGACCTACACCAAAAACTGCACCAAAAATGTTAACCTGCACCAAAAACATTAACCTGGTCATTCCTTTGCTGAAATTGCAGCATCTGAAACTTTGACTGGTACAATGAAACACACTAGCAACATCTTCCATGCATGTCTAATCAATATAGGACATAGAAGTACTTAAAAAGAAAACTGCTCCAAAAAACTTAACCTTAACCCGATTATAGGTGAGCTAAAAACATTCCATTTTAGATTATAGACTTAGTCATATGCATATTCTTAAATTCTTTAGAACTCATGTTAACTAGAAACTTCATGAATGAAAAAAAGATATTTTTAAAGTAGGTGTGGGTCCCTTGAATTACAGTTTTAGTAGCAAACTTGCTACAAAGATTTTTATATAGTTCAAAACCAGTAAATAAACACATGTATGCTAGGCTAAGCATTAGCATCTTTCATTTAAGCTTTAGTAGCCTAGATAAAGAAACATGCAAATACATGAAGGTTAATAAATATCACCTGTATATTAAATAATGAACATGCAAGTTAGAATGCTAGATATATGTTTATATAATATAAATACAATATACAAATTAAAGCTATGAAAAACTTGTGATCTATTACAGAATTTATCTACTGTATTTTTAACATGTTCAATTTTTTGAAAATTTGAACATTCTCAAAAAGACAGTTCTGTTACCCCCACCCCCCTCTCCCCTTCTAAATGCAGCACTGGTTAATGCATATTAATTTATTAAATATGTGACCTTAGTCCTTTGATTATATCCATTCTGTATTTGACTATAGTATTTAAATAGTTAATACAATATTTTCAGGAAAAAATAAATAAAATTCTTGTCTTGCTATTATATGATTACAGTGTATAACAATATAGGTATATGTACTCTTATAATTTATTAATCAGAAAATAGAAAAGTGAAATCTCATATCCCAAATTTAGAGTACTTGTCAATAAACAAACAAAAAATTTATATACAGTGGAACCTCATTTATCCGGACGCTTTGGTCCTTGTCAATTTGTCTGGAATATGTGAAGCGTCCGGATATCTGAATTACCAGTTAAACAAGAACAAATATCATTAAAAAATTCTGTTCCGAGGAAAAGTCGTCCGGATACTGAAGCATCCGGATATCTGGCGTCCGGATATCTGAGGGTCCACTGTATATTTAAAATTTTAAAAATATACAGTTGAACTTCGATCGGTATCTTGAACATCAATATCTTGAATACCGTGAGCTGCAAGTTCCCAATGACTCTTTCTTTGAGTATTTTTTAAAAAATCTCAATACATATCAAATTCTCAGATGTTTCTTTTTATAGGTTTTTCCTCTGTCCACAGTGTTTTCCCTTTATTTCAAAGTAAAGGGCTAGAGATAATTTGTAACAGGATTTGGGTTGGGGTTTATGACATATCTCTGCGGATTTTACATGAATTGTACAACAATAAAATTTGATTTTTTTTTATTTCAAAGCAGCATTTTTGTCAAGTGAAGTGGTCAATTTCGCTGGTATAGCCAGTTCTTACGGAAAACGCAGTGTCCAATCCAGTTAAAGATAATGACGTTCAACTGTATGTGCTAACACAGAATTCTCATTTTCTTAATCTCAAGGTCATTTTCCCTTATTCAATTTCAGAGAGTTTTGGTAAAAAGTGTCAAATTAATCATGTTAATATATTACTTTGTAAAGAAACTCAATATAACAATTACTTTCTGATCTTGGCGACTAACTCTCCGAAGGGTTTTTCCCAGCAATACATTTTGATAACCCTCATCCCTGAGATAATCTCGTTCATCACTTTCACTCTCTCATCTGTGTGGACCGCAGTCTTGTGCCTATAAAGTAAAAACTGGGTATTCAACAATTAAACATTATTTTAGCAAAATTTCACAATTAATATCCGGATTAGACAAATTCACTGTATAATAATTCATATATTTTGATGAGTATATAAAATCATGTTGAAATTACAAACAGAACTATCCAAGATAAAACTTGTAGCAAAATTGCCAGTATTTTTCTCCACTTGAAAAATTATACATATATACTGAAACGCAAAAGAAACGCAACAAGCAGTAATCTACAAATGTTTGATTTTTTTATCTAATGATTTTCAAATATGAATACTGTAAGGCTAAACTCACTTTTCAGAACATCAGAGATTTGATAAAAATGTTAAATGTTTATCTTTTTACTTTACTAAGTACATGTAACATATGACTGTTAAAACACCCCCCTCCCAGCCATTCAAGTAAAACGTGCAAGACTGTCCTAATCAACAATTGCAGCTTAATTTCTACAATACAATAGGTTCATCAATATCGAGATATGATCGAGCGAAAGAATTATTCTTAACCATTTTTAAATGCCCGTTTTTCAGATGATTAGCATGATTAGTACGAATTTTCCCTAGATAAGAGCAGTGTAGCCACCCTTGGACTTCAGGTACAAGGACTGTCCTTAATGCGTATGATAGGTAAGACCCTGTTGAGGCGTAATGTAGTGAATTTTTGCATCAGCAACTCTCCATCACCTTTACATTGAAATGTTCCAGCTAGAGCAATGGAAATGCGTACCTAAGCCATTTTCAAGAAGCCTTGGCATCGTTACGGGAAACGAAAAGAGAGTTTATTTTTTGAAATATTGCTGCATTACTTATGATGAACAGTAAAAACCCTTAAAACTCCACATTATTGCCAAATGTTTTGGTAAACATGCAATTTTTGATTTCTGTTAAACAAACTTAAATTTGACTTCCGGTTATGGTAAGAAAATCGTTCAACCGTTAAATTACAGATGTTTACCAAATTGAAGATATTCGTAATTTTAAGATACAAAATTCTTTACTTTACATAATTATTTCCTCAAAGCAGAGTGTTGCGTTTCTTTTGCGAGTCAGAATATAATATACCATGTGGATATAATGCATATTCAATTCTTGACATTTATGATTCTTTATACTATGTCATATATATGAAAAATTCAAAAGAAAACTTTGAAAACACACTAACTTAATCAATTCAAACTCTTTATATAGTAACTGTTATACATGTACACTATGAATGCTAAATTCTGGACAAGATTCAATTCTTCTTCTAATGACTCACCTGAGCTTTGCAAATAGTTTTCCCATCAGGCTCTGAACTGGTACAAGACAAAGAAGGACAGCAAATCCAGCAATGGCCGAGGGGCCCAGCTCCATCCATAGAATAACCAGAACAAATAAGGCCTGCAGGGGACCAATCCAGATATAGTGAATAAACATCACCGCCTGTATAAAGGAAAAAATGGGTTATGAAAAGTAAGAATTTACAAGAGAAGAAATTGTTGGTGACATTCGTTAAAATTCTCAAAAATCATACTCTAAAAGCCTTTGGCATGAAGTATATTATATATATATATTTTCAAACATTTCATCATTTAGTTTTTTAATATGCCTTCTCGAATCCATTTCATCTGTATTTATGTATAATTAAATGCTGCTAATTCTATTATAAACATTTGGGTCTGACATCTAAATACATATTAATAAAATCTTTTCAATTTATGATACATGTACAATTGTACATATAAAAGGGAAATCTTTACTTGTCATGTTGTCATGATGAGTTTTTTTTCTATCAAGCTTTAATTATAGATGATTGATACATATGTTAATTAGGTTTTGCAGAATACATATTATGTAAACAAGAGAAGCAAAGAATGTTGCTGCAGCAGTTATTTATATTACTGTAGATAAAATCAGTAAAAATACTACATGTACCATTGTACCTCTTATAAATCTGAATTAACATTAGTTATTTAGATTTAGATACGAGATTTAACAAATAGATTAATTTGCTTGTATGAAAGGAACTGTCTTAAACCATGATGTGTCAATTAAATGTTCTAATTGAAAGGTTTCTATCATATTTATGAAGATTACCTTATAATTGCATATCTTGTTTCATTATACATGTATACCACATATTTAAAGATTATTCATTTTCAATAGATGTAAATCCATGTACATACCATATATCATGTATTGAAAATTCATCAACCGAGTATCACCATATAAATCTATGTGTTAGTTCTGCATTTGGTTGCATGAAATCAATATATCTCTACTGTGAAAATGTATTGAAATGTGAGGGTGGAAAACAAAGGAAATGGCTCATTTCTTAAGCTTTTTTTTTTAAAATTGAACTTTTAAAACTTTTTGTGTAACATTTGCAGCTAATAGGTCAAAGTTTCAGGACTGGTGAAATGAATACACAAGGTAAATTAATTGTGTAGGTCAAGGTTTAGTGATTGAACACATACCAGTACATGTATTACTTCAAAACATTACTGTAAAAGAAATCTGCACATGTTAAAAAATAACAGAGAAGAACTAGTATTTGATTATTCTCTTGAAATACAGTAAAACTCAGATTTATAGTGAAGTCCACAGGAATTGGTGGCTCTAGTTCTCTAAAAAATTTACTCAGAATTGATTCATTGTAAGAATTTTGCTGCATTCCCTAAAAACCCTCCTATATCCATGTTTATATAAAAGCAAGTTTTACTGTTAAAGCCAAAATCTGAACTTCAGTTTGGACAAGAAAGCAATAACTTAAGGATGCATCATGTGAGCAAAACAGTACAAGAAACATGCATAGAATTCTATCTGAAACACAGTCAAAAGAAGTCACGCCATGATAATTGTAAGAAAAAATTACCGTATCAAATCGGTTGACGTCGTTGGACATCAGGTTGACTATCTGGCCTGTCGTTGTCTGCCCCATTGCCCTGTTACTCAGTCGTAAAGCCTGAAAATATCAGCTAGATTACAATGTGTTTAGTGTATAATTAAGAAACCTCAGTCATTGTCAAACTTTTGCACACAAGGATTATAAAATTCATTTGTTAATAAAAATATATTGTATTCAATTCAAAACAATAAATCTTAACATCAGCAAATTATGTTAATACGGGTATATATTATGTATTTGTAAATTTTAGGTTGACAAAATGTAGGTACTGATACATGTACCATTGTACAATGATTACCTTCCTGTACAAAAGGGAACAGCAAGCAACTCTTATTTGCATTCCGATTCGCTGAACTGTGAAGAAGTATGGATGGTGAGATACTGCAAGAACAATGGCAGCTAAACTCATTCCCATGGCATAAAGGTACGCATCCATTTGTGATATGGTGGAATTAGGTGTGAAGTACCGGATCAGTTGTCCTAATAGCAGAGGTTGCACAACCTTAGTGGCCTCCTTAAAAATAAAAAAAAAAAATCAAATGTTCTTCATTAATAACCTAAAAAACTGGATTAATTTCAATCAATATGTATGAATTATTTTTCTCTAACCTGTCATTGTTTTAAGATAAATTCTTAGTAGATGCTGCTATTAAAGCCCACACTGATTTTTTTTTCTGTTTGGGATGCACACTTGTATTTAAACAAAACTATACAAAATAATTTTAATTCAAATTTCTCTATTTCCCATAAATCCTGTGCTTTTATCTGTTTTAATTCTTCTACAACTAATGACAAAGTAGAAAAATATATAATAATTCACTCAAATTTTTTCCAAATTTTGCCTACAAAAAAAATGTACTATTTTTTTTAATTTTGCTTGCCCGCTCCTACTCATTTTACAGATGACGGACAAACAAGAAATTATGTTGGTGTGGCCTAATACTGAAAAGTCATTACCCTATGAGATTCTTTTTAATACAAAAGAATGATAACATATAAAATTAGGATCGATAATGGAATAATATGCAGTTCAAACAAAAGAAAAAATGTGTATTCTTACTTCTATGAACACTATGATTCCTAACAAGGCATATTGAACACCAAAAATCCTGACTATGCATTTGGAAAGGCTGGGGGATTTATCCAATTTCTTTGACTTGGCCAGTTCAATATTCCACTCCCTGAAAATTAAAAGAAAATCATGATCGTAATTAACTTGTTTAATCAAAACAGTAATTCTCATGTCCAGTTTGAATTAGTGAGCTCAAAATCAGCAGGTCTTGTCAAATTGAATACAGTCACATATGTGATAAAAGAATATCATGAAAACCCTGACACCAAATGTTTAGAAGTTAAAAGCAAGTAAGTTTTTCAAAAGGTTTAACTTAAATTAAGGTCAAGGTAAGTTGAATAAAAGTCTCAGAATAAATATCAACTGTTCAAAGGTTATGGTCAAGGTTAAAGTCTTTCAAAATTAGGTCAAACTCCAAGGTAAAGGTACATGTACGTTTGCATTTCGATTGACTCAAAATATGTATTAACATGATTAATGTTAACTCAAAATTTTACATAGAATTCAGCAGCATAGAAATAAAGGCGAGTAATTTTATTTCGCGTGTGATGCTTCTCGCAAAATTACACGATAATTAATTCCACACATTTAATTAGGAATCTACAGTACATAAAAAAAACAACTTAAGTTATCATGACTCTGAATTATTTACATCTTCCTCTTCTTCAGATGAACCAAGAGATTTTTTTTTATATCAAGCTTGGTCACTTCACAATTTGGTTAACTAATAATTTCATAAGAATTCACACGTAATCAAATATTGACAAACAATCTCTGAGATAAGTCAGCATTCCAAAGATAAGTTGAAAGGATGGAACTTAAATATCTTTAATATGTAAAATTATGTAAACTATAAACTAATAAACTGGACAGCATTATCTAAGATAAATACCATCCTATTACAAGCAATGGTTTTTCCCTTGACTTTTAAAGTGACACTGTTTAAATATTGGCAAAATCACAGTAACATAACAAAATTTCATTTTAATAAGTTCAATCCATGTGGATTAGTTAACTTTTGTTTATTTAACAAGTGCAAGTATTTTTCTCAAAGATAGCACAGCTCTCATTTATCATGAAAAATCCCCATAACCATTGTCTATAACTATTGTAAGTCTGCTTTGATTAAAAACAATTGCAATGCTCCATGTAATTTGATGTAAAACAATAACCATAATTTTAAAAATAAAAAGGAATTTAATTGACTCAAATTCTTTTTATATAATCATGTGGATCAATTGATTATGGCACTAAGAGTGCGTAAATTAAAACTGATCATCTGAACACTGACTAAATTCATCACCTTTCGAGTTTTTTTCCGAGATCCTCAGATGAGTCCTCGTTCGTAACATTGAACATATCATCTACCTCCAGTCGTCTTGTGTAGCCTTTTCGAAATATTGGGTTCATCCACCTTAAAAGGTATAAGTTGAAATTAAAATACATGTAGTTCAGATAGCTCTACCAATACTGCTCTGTGATAATATGATAGAGGAGGAGAAAAACTGAAACTTAATCATGTGAATCTGACATACAACTTTTTTTTTAATTTTAATGAAGTATCTGGATGTCTCTTAAACTTAACTGTTTGACTAAAATAAGATTAATTAAAACCTATTCATCATTAATACTATTCAGTTGAAATTCAGAGAAAAATTCTGAATCAGAAAATTGATTAAAAAAAATGGGAACATGTTACTTTAATCTTATTCTAAACATGCTAAATGCATGAACATACACTATATAACATTTCAACATGACCAATGTAAATATATATTAATTAGTACTTTTTAAGTTTTAGAAACATGTAAAAATATAGTTGCATTTCTATGGATATGTTCCTGAATATCAATAATTTGTTGCTCTTTCACCTGTTCAGTCTTTTCAATCTTGCTAAAACATACAATCTCATTTGATTCAAAATAATTATGTTATCTTCAAATCATTTTCAAACTTGTACATGTATGAGTTTGGAAATAAAATACCATATAAATATTCTAACTTTCCTTGAGATGTAGTATCGTCTAAATAAAGGAAATTAATTCAAATGAAAATGCCAGCATGTATTTGTCCTATTTTGACATTTAAAACATGCATTTATACACAAACAAGTTTACATTTATATATCAGTAACTATTCATATCATGTTTAGACTCAAGTCTGTCAAACAAAACAGTTATAATTGCAAGTCCTCTGAATTCCATTCATAATATGGATGCTAGGCCAAAATAAAATTATAGTTTGTTTGGAATTGCCTCCCACCTCATTGAAATGCCCCCTCCTGAAAAAATTTTATTGACCAAGAGTACGAAGAATTTTTTTTTATTTAATCAATTTTTTGCCTGTTATTCATGTATCATATGCACCATACAAAACACCGACAGATAGTGTCAGATCTATGTAAAATTAGGATTTTTTGTTGATGGAAGATGCTTTATTTAAAAGTCAGAAAATGTATTTACTTTTTACTAAGATTTTTATCAAAAATTTTTAATTTATCTTCAGTTTAAAAAAATAAAATAATTTCCCTCCCTCCCTCCTGTGTCTGAAACCCTTCAGGCGGCAATTCCAAACAAACATTTTTTTAAGGATGGCCCTATATATTCCAGTTTTAGCATATCATATATCATGAACCACCAAGATGTAACAAAGCAGTGTGTGGAATCTGTTAATTTTCACCACAGGCACTTCCAATCTTATATTTCATAATTATCAACAGAAAAAATATACACCTAAGTAATTTTTTAAATGAACAATTAAGATGGAAGTGTCGATGATTTTCACCAAATTTGACAGCATGCAAATAAAAGCTATAACTAATGTATATGGTTCTGAAAAAATTTAACATTTTTTTTAAATATTAGAATTGAGTGAACTTGTTACATTGTATATGTTATAGTATCAATCCACGCATGAAATTCAATCTAATTAAAATAAAATGTCCCAAATCCCCTGGTGAGAACAGCTGAAGTTTAGGATAGGGGTCGCGGTTCCCATATTCCCAACCACTACACAACTGCCATACAAATAACTTTATGTCCTATATATTACTGGCCCTTGCAAAATAATAAAAAAAAAGTATGTCCTACTTACTAATGACCCTTGCTTCATGAAATGAAAAAGTACCGTACACTTACCAGAACAATAATTTTGACAAGGGGTTCGCCGTCAGAATCGGATTCGGGTTGTGATGTTTTAAACTTTCATCCATGATGATCAGATAATTTCTATAAATCTAGTTGGTTCAGCATTAATTCTCATATTATTTATCCATAAGACCAAATTACAGGGATTACACAATCCACGTTCCAGCCGCTTTCAGTTTACATCATTGCAACTTCCGGAGAGTAAAAAATCATTAATTCATTCCTTGTATTATTCTTTAGAAAAGTTGATTTTTCGAAACAGTACCCTAAAAAGAGAGAGAAAGAGGTGAATTTAATGGGTCTGCCATTCAAATTCATAGACAATAATGAATTGTTCTACACTAGTTAGAATAATCTAACTGTGTCTCGGAACCGGGTCCGTAGGACAATATCATTTTAACGATAGTACATTCTATCTAGTTCTACACCTGTCATTTAGTACTGTATACCAACCTGGAGTGAACCGAGGGCGACCGCAGCCCAGAAATTGACCATTACACAGCTGTTAGGCCTAGATAAGACATTTTGTGTGATACAAGTAGACAGACATATAACTAATTGAGCTACTTACTGAGTAAGTAAGAAGATATTTTTTTCTTTTTAGATATATGCACAAAATCATGTTCAAATTCTATAGAATTTAAATTTAAAAAGGGGGGGGGGGGGTGACGGGTCTGTCGTGTTGTCTTTCGAATAAAATCAATTACAATATGGAATAAGCAAATTTAAGATACAGTCTTTAAATTCAGAGAAATTCCTTCTCATTGGCATGCAGCAGTTTTTGTCTATCGTATCAGTTTCTTTCCACTAGAATATGCTCAGTACGTAATCAGGTAATATATGTAAAGTATGGTACATGCATGTATAAATTTAGTAAATATTTCAAATGGCTCTGTTCTCTGGTTAAGTTTTACAACGAACATTCTGCGTATAATTAATCAAGTTTCTTCCTATAACGAATTCAATTTGTTCCAACCTCTCTTATTATGCAATAAATCAAAACATTAAAAAAAATTTAATAAATTTTAATGTTTTTCCAGTGGCGGATCCAGAAGTTCATGTGGGGGGGGGGGGGTTGAGGCCCAAAGGGCCGAAGGGGGAGGGCATGGGAGGGGGTGTCCCCCTAAGAAAATTTTGTTTTAAATGGTTCCAATTGGTGCATTTTCCAGCATTTTGGGGTACTTTTTGTAGCTTTTTTAAAGACCGATCATCACAAATTTTTAATAAAATGTTTCAATTTAATTTAACTTTACCACAAGACTTTAAACTTCGCTTTAAAAAATTGTTAAATCTGACAATTTTCGGAATACAGTTCAGTTGACTTCAAGTTCTCTTTACTTTAAATGCACCAACAATTATAATTTAGTCGTATGTCAAACTGACTTCCAAGACACAACTAATGTGCAAAATTTTTAAACACTAAAAAAATGAAAAATTGAATTCTTTTCAGAATCCCTAACTAGTGCTTTTCAACTTACTTGAGTATATACTGTCAATATGATTTGGAATATAAACACACATGTACAATTAATGAAATTTCAAACTGAAGAAAAAATTACATAAACTGGAGAATCTGTCAAAACTAGAGGGGTTTGCTTAGCCAACCTGGTTTTGTAAAACAAATTATATTAATTTGATTTTTAAAACGATAAAAAAAAACTGCAGAATAGTTTATTGATTTCATAGTTTAAAAAACATGCATTTTATCAGCAAAAGAATATTACTGAGCACACGGCGGAGAATCTACGTCATCGGACGGGATTAGGACACACAAAAATGGAGGACAAATGCTCCGCTTCGATGTAAGAAGTTGATATTTTTGCACTTATAAAGAATGAATATTAAATCAATATCCTGCCTAAAGTATGCCAAAGAACGTCAACTACAATAGACAATGTACGTTTGCTCGTGATAGAATCTTATTGTTCTTCTCAAGTGAGAAAAAACCGGGATATGGGGTACACATTTTTAAAATTCGACCAATTATTCGCATGTCCAGATGTACTCAACATTTTATTCTTCCGCGTTTACACTAGAACTAATATTTTTAAAAAATCCTGATTTTTTCAATAGTTTATTATGCTTTAATTATCCAAGAATAAAATATAAATCATTTTGTTTTCAGAAATGATGTAGGGCACACCAACACTAAAACGGATATGGGACACACAATAAGTTACTTTCAAACTGAAACATCGAGCATTCATATCTTAAAGTTTCCATTTAAATGACTGCCGTTTGATAGTATATGAACAATAACCTGTACAACTCATCTTTGTAATACTCATCCAAATACTTGATTCCCTTGGTTTGCTTGTATCCATACAAAAATTATAAGTTGAAAACGCTGGTCTGATCCTCAACAAAAGCTTCCAACATGAATTTTAAATTTTGACTTTTATTAAATTTCATGTAGAAATTTACCGGTGTTCACTTCTGCAGATCCATAGAAAGAGGGGGGGGGGTCGAAGTCCGGAGATTCTGTTTATTTTATGATATTTTTATTTAAAGTTACACGACATCCGCCCCCCCCCCCTAAAAAAAAAAAACACCCCTCCCCCCCCAAAAAAACACACACCTGTACAAACTCACGAAATATATATATTTTTTTAGCTTTGTTGCTTACTTTTCTGCTTGTCAAAATAGTTTGGAGGCAGAAAATTCTTTAATTGGAATTCCCTTGGTTTGCTTGTATCCCTACAAAAATTCAAATTTTATAAGTTGAAATGGCCGGTCTGATCCTCAACAAAAGCTCATTAGCTGCCAAAATGAATTTTAAATTTTGACTTTTATTAAATATCATACTGAAAGATACTAGTATTTACATATTCGAATCTAAAAGGAGGGTTGAAGTCCGGAGTCTATGTATATGATTTTACGTACTCTACGATATTTTTGTGTTAAGTAACACGACCCAGATCCAATCAAACACACATGAAATAGCTTTTTGAGGTTGATTGTTTTAATTTCTTTGCTTGTAAAAATGTTTTGGAGTCAGAACTTCTTTTTCTGAGTTTGTGTGGACACCCCCCCCCCCCCCCGCCTTCGAAAATTTTCTGTATTTGCATATTCAGTGTTTGTTTTTATTAGATCTTTGTCGGTAAGACTCTAGTATGTCAGCTGATAGGAATTAGGGAATTTTTCTTATGCTCAAATATTTGCAACAGCTGACAAACTTCTTTCAAAATTCTAATAGTTAATTATTACCGACTCCATATATTTGAGAAAAAAAGACAAAATTGAATATTGTACTTCGAAGTTAAAATCATCGTATTAATTGAAAAAAAAATTGTTTTATTATACATGTTTTTTTCCTGATATACTTTATTTTATCAAATAAAATATACAACATGACTATATTAAGATAGTCATGTTGTATATTTTATTTGATAAAATAAAGTATATCAGGAAAGACACATGTATGAATCAGTGATTAAATATCACGTAGTACTAATAAAGCAGTTCATGTCATCTTATTTACATTCGCTGGAATATTAGCCAAAAGCAATGATAGGAGCAGGCTTAAATAAACATTACCAGCAGTATATTTTTTGTTGTTGTTGTAAAAAGTACTTTAGTAGCTATACATAAGAAGAAATAATGTCAAGCTCTTTTATATGATAAGTTTTGAAGGGGGGGGGGGTCATTATCAGAGAAAAATGACAGCTAAAAACCTTTGATTGGCACCCACGAAAAGACAATTTTTGTTTTGGCCCTGCCCATCACTGGCAACCACTTTCATACATTCGATTACTAATATTATGTTCACCTGAGGCAAGCTAGGAGCAAATAAAATAGCTTTCCAAAACTATTTGTTGCAATTTGGAATTTCCCGATCTATTTTTAGACCACTGTGTAGGGAAAACAAATTCTTATTATCACCTGGAAGGTCAGTTGTTGCAAATATTTGAGCATAAGAAAAGTTCTTGATCTCTTTCCCATATTAAAAGACATGCAAGTGTCAAAGATCTTATTAATACCAATTTGCAGATTTGAGAACTTTTTCGGGATGGAGGGGGGAGGGGGGGGGGCCACACAAAGTCCAAAGAATTTTCTGACTCCAAACTAATTTGACAAGCAATAAAGTAAGCAACAAAGCTAAACAAAATTATTTCGTGAGTTTGTATGTGTGTGTGTGTTTTTCGTGTTTTTTTTCGAGGGGGGGGGGGGGGGGGGCGGATGTCGTGTAACTTGAAATAGATATATCATAAAATAAACACAATCTCTGGACTTCGACCCCCCCCCTCCCTATTTCTATGGATCTGCAGAAGTGAACACCGGTAAATTTCTACATGAAATTTAATAAAAGTCAAAATTTAAAATTCATGTTGGAAGCTTTTGTTGAGGATCAGGCCAACTTATAATTTTTGTATGGATACAAGCAAACTAAGGGAACCATGTAGTTGGATGAGTATTACAAAGATGAGTTGTACAGGTTATTGTTCATATACTATCAAACGGCAGTCATTTAAATGGAAACTTTAAGATATGAATGCTCGATGTTTCAATTTGAAAGAAACTTATTGTGTGTCCCATATCCGTTTTAGTGCTGGTGTGTTCTACATCATTTCTGAAAACAAAATGATTTATATTTTTTTCTTGGATAATTAAAGCATAATAAACTATTGAAAAAATCAGGATTTTTTAAAAATATTAGTTCTAGTGTAAACGCGGAAGAATAAAATGTCTAGTACATCTGGACATGCGAATAATTGGTCGAATTTTAAAAATGTGTACCCCACATCCCGGTTTTTTCTCACTTGTTTTCAAACTGTGTCGAAGTGTTTGGAACAATAAGATTCTATCACGAGCAAACGTACATTGTCTATTGTAGTTGACGTTCTTTGGCATACTTTAGGCAGGATACTGACTTAATATTCATTCTTTATAAGTGCAAAAATATCAACTTCTTACATCGAAGCGGAGCATTTGTCCTCCATTTTTGTGTGTCCTAATCCCGTCCGATGACGCAGATTCTCCGCCGTGGAGCAGCACCGTAACTATGCAGTTTTCTGTTGTTGGTTCTGTACCTGACTACATTGTACTGTGATCTTGGGATTTCACTGGATGCATGGACTACCCGATCTCTGAGGCACTCTCTGTTGATTACCTGTGTATTGTGTGCGTTCAAGCGGAAAGTGATTTCCTATTACGTAGTTGATGTATATTTCACAGTTGTACAAATAAAGGGTTCATGTTAATTAGAGTCTTATAAATGAAAAAAAAAAAAATGATAAAATGACACTTGTAAAAAAAAAAATCAATGAGCGGGGGAGGGGGGGGGGGGGGTTCCCGAACCCCCCGGAATCCGCCACTGGTTGCATATATAGTATATAAAAGGCCTAAAAAGGGTCCATTTTCATCATAGGTTTTATTTCTTAACTATGAAAATATAGGTTTTTAAATTCCTCTGATTGCTTGAAACATGCCAAAACTTTTTTTTAATATAATTAAGTCTAATGAAAATAAAGGAGGGATAGATATCATGATAATGTTACGCCCTTCATCTACTACCGTTGTCAAACTTTACTAAAATGTTTTTGTTTTTGAAAGCAACATTCAAGTAAATACCAGCTACATGTAGTGACGTACGAAATGAAATTTGAAATTTATTTGATAATCAGTACACCTCTCTCTCTCTCTTTCTCTCTCTCTCTCTCTCCCACATACCTTAATGGTCTCCACTGCCTCCGTGGACCCAGTTTAGATGGTCCACGGAGCTTCCGATGTTTAAGGGATCTATTATGACTCTCCCATGGAGTCGCGGACGATTGTCTATTAAACAAATACAGAAAAGGCATGAATACTTTTACAAATTCTCACTGAATAAAAAAAAAAATCGCTTACTTTTTAAATTTCTTACCGAGGTATTTATCATGAATCCATTTTGATAAATCTCGGGAGAGATTAAATAAAATGATTGTTGTAGCAATCATCTTGCCTGAGCACAATATACATGTAATAATAGAGTGACGTCACAATGGAATAATAGCAGCAAATCGTGACGTCATAGTAAAAAAATCGATATTTCAAAAAAATCATTTAAAAAAAAATTGTGTGTGTGTCTAAGACTTCCGTGTTCATACGAAAAACAACAAATAACTAATGATGTTTTTGTTGTTGCACATTTTGAATATTATATATGGTTCTGCTAATTACCATATGTGAATTCAGGAAATTACAAATTAGCCCAGAATCCCTTTTGTATTATTTACACAAGGAGTTAATATTTTTTATTGTGAGTCAGATGAGTTTAAATTATAACAAGGTTCAAATAAAGCTTTATAGGTGGGGGAAAATGGGCCAAAACTGTAACAAGAATATTATAATTAGAAGTAAATGATCTCTCAATGAAATTCTACAAAGTGAAAATAGACGGGAACGTCAAAAAAAATTTAAAAATAACATAGAAAAACTACAGTTTATAATTTTTTATCAATATTTTGAAAATGTATTTTTGGAATCACGTAGCATCGTTTTTGAAAGTGGAGGGGGGGGGGGGAGCAGCCAGAGAAAAAAAATTTGACTTACCTGAAAAAGTTGACAAGCAAAAAAAAAAGGGGGGGGGAATTGCCCAAACTCGAAAATCCTATTAGGTGTGGAAGGGGGGGGGGCATGTAGAGGCCAATTTTTTCAATGCCAACTTTCTTCAGTACCAATTCTTTTTCTTTGGCATTCAATACTACATTTCCCTGAAACAATTTCCAGTCGTATAAAGTGGGGGGGGGGAGGCAACCAGCTTTTCAGTGAACATTTCCAATAGTTAAGTAATGTTGGGGAAAAAGTGAGGGGGGAAGCAGGACCCTGTTGCTACGTGCCTGTTTACAACCATTAAAATGATGTCCGATAAAACATGTAATATACATGTATAACGATCCACTTTAACATGAAAAACGTAACAATATCAGGCCCTCCACTTTTTTTTCAGAGTAAATTATTTTGTTGTAGATTTGATACAACGCGTTTTTAATTGTTTATCTTGGACTTTGCTCCCCCACTCCCTCCCTAAATTCTTTTTGCTGTACGATTGAACTCGAACACAGGGGCGTAGCAACAGGGGGGGAGGGGGGGCAAGGGGGGCCTGCCCCCCCCCACTTTTTTTCCCAACCTTATCTATACTATAGGAAATGTGAATTGAAAGAGCCTGGTTGCCCCCCCCCCCAGTTTTAGACTTTGAGTGATGTACCGAAAATGTATTATAAGAAGTGGTACTGAAAGTAGTTGACACTGAGAAAAAGTTTACCTCTATTATTCACTTTCAAATAAAATGTATCTGCTGATTTATTTGAAAAAAAAAACTTTACATATCAATGATAAGATAATCGTATAAGTGCAAGTTTTTGCGTATGCATAAAAAATGTCTAGTAGATTTAAATTACACCAGAGCTACAGTGTAATTTGTTTCTAGTCATCCAATGATTTTTGGACAATTACTTTCCATTCATGATTGCTTTATCTACGTCAAACCTTCTCTTCAAATTTAACAGATCAAACGATCGAAATGGAATTGAATTTAAAGAATATCCTTCTTGTTAACATTTACCTTCAACTTATTTTCGTCATAATATTAAATGATCATGAAGGGGTTATTTTATCATTAATTTTTATGGATCAGTTCTTTTAAGAAATGAAATAAAAGTTTTAAGAGAAGACGAAATTAATAAAACTTATTGAGAACTCAATTGGATTAATAAAATTAGAACATATACAATCGTACAAGATTATCATAAAATATCCTTTCTCCTGGAGATTGTTGGACAAAATGATAAATTATAAGCGAGTATTTGAAGAACTTTAATTTGTTTGTTTATAATTTAAATTATGTATAGTACTTCCATATAATATTTACGAGGGGTGATCGAAAAGTAATGTCAAAACTATTACTAGTATATAAAATCTACAAAAATCAAAAGATTTGACGTACACATATAGTATTAATGCCGCTATCTATTACAGTATCCACTTTGCTTTTTTCCCTTAAAATTTCTTTTGATTACATGAAATGTTTTTTTTTTTTTTTTTTTTTTTTTTTATTGAGATTTTAAAAAGCAAGGTTCAATTTTGTCTATCGCCACACGACGTCGTTATGATGTTACTTTTCGGCACTCAGTGCTTTTTCAGTACATTTGCATAATTATTATATATTTTTTAAACTTTCACTTGCTTCTTTTTCAATCCGTACTGCTATTTTTTTCCTATGAACGGTCATTTTGAAGCTGTATTGTAAAAATAATTTGAACTTTTTCCAAAATTATGTTTCTATATTCATTTCATAATCCCCCCCATGCTAAATTTAAAGTAACAACAGATTTAAATGGAATGTCGCGCTACAGCGCAATACCCAATGTTATGTTACTTTAAATATTTTTACAAAGTACATGTATACATGTTCATGTATAGCATCTATCTGAATGAAATTTAAAAAAAAAGTCAAAATAGATGGACTTTTTTATGTGGAGTTCTGATGATAAATTTCGATTTTAATTATTTTTTCGAAGTTGTGTCATTACTTTTGGATCAGCTTCGTAGTTTTAAGGGAAACAACAAATAAATCGGACTCTAGTCTTCGATTTTAAATGAAAACAAATCACTACAGGGCGGTATTTAAATGCCGAAGAAAATATCATTTGATCTATCTAAGAACGAAATAAAAAAAATATCCGGGATGCTGTTTGAATTTGAAAGAGGAAAATATTGACATAAATATATAATTCTAGTGCAATTATATACACTGTATTTTTAATGGGCATCTTTAGCAAGCAGTTATGGGATTTTACTCTGAAAAAAAAACTTTGGGACAACATACCTATTTAAGTTTTATCTCGGTGATGTCATACTTGAACTCATATTTATTATCGATTCAAATCCTATATATATTGCTGGAGTAATTACTAAATATTGCTACTTTTATAGCAAATTCTTAACATAATTATCAAAACAACCGAATTCATTTCCTTATTAAACACAGGAAAATGAAATGGGTCATAACTTTGTTTATATAACCCACAGGCACCTGACGTTACTTATTTTTCTTTTAATAAAAAAAATATACACATACCTAATTATTATTCGGTATGTGTATATTTTTTTTATTAAAAGAAAAATAAGTAACGTCAGGTGCCTGTGATATAACCATGATATGGAAAAACAAAATTTTCCTTCTGCAGTAGTTATGATGATAATCTGATTATATTTAAACAGTGTGTGAACTCAAGTAGAACAGCAATCATACCAGAATAGAAGAAATTTTACGCTTTTAAATACTATACTGTAAAAAGCATTTGGAAGGGAAAAATCCAATCCAAAATGTTTCACCTTTTCGTACAAAAATATTGTATATATTCGGTCCATCATGTTTCAATTTTGAAAAAAAAATCTCATTATAGTACGAGGGTCGATCCAAAAGTAATGTCACAACTTTGATAAAATTGCTATAAGTCGACATAAAACAACAAAATTATACGTGATGAAAGCTTTATTTATTTCAAATCAGACCTGAAAAATTTAAAGGAATATGATGTATTCTTTCCGAAATATCGGATTTTAAACAATGTGCATTTATGGTAGTCGCCGCACCTAAATATAACGTCATATGACGGATACGCGCCGTCATACTTTTAAGAGTTTCCCAATCGGCAATCCTCGGCTGACTCCGCTCCGCTCCATTCAAACCTCGGATGTGATTGGTGGAGGAATACGCAACAGATCCTTACATTTCTCCGCCGGAAACTGCCTTATCACTCATTTCGTATTTCGCTCTGCATAACGTTCTTCGAAAATGTTTCTTAATTTATGCAATTCTTTATCGTAAACAGGTTTTGTTTACATCCTCATGTTAATAGGCTTTGAAAGCAAGAAAAAACTGTTGAGTGTGCCACAAAATAACTCCGATTTCAAATGTATGACATTTGAAAGAAATTCAAAAAAGATCACATGACTGAATCAGCAAGATGGTAGATCACCGTTGACGTCCGAGGTTATGTGCGAGGTACGAGTCATCCGAGGAACTCCGAGTGAGAGTTTCCCGTTCGTTTTATTAAAAAATATTAATTTGTGATTCGCAAACACTTTCACGAATTTCACTTTCTTTAAGAATTATTGGTACCGTCATACACTCACTCTTTTCATAACTAAGCCCTCTGTCAAAATTTTTGAACAGTAGCATAAGGCAAGCTTAAAAATTCACATGCATCTATAGGCGTCGGAAGCAAATTGAAAGGGGGAGGGGGGCTAAACCAACATCAAAAAGGTAAATCCCAACTTTCAATGCCTTTATTATGTATATATTTGCCCAAAAAGTGGGGGAGGGGGGCTAACCCCCCACCCCCAGCCCCCCGGTTCCGACGCCTATGACATGTCACTCTATTCGTCTGTGTTTTTTGACAACGTCAGACATCACTGAACGTTTCAGTCCGATCTCCTATCTATCGGTCTTCTTGTCCTCTGCTGATCATTCAGTGACCCACCATCCGCCCAAAATTGCTGAAACCATCTATAAAGAAGTCTCTTATACACATTCTTTATTCTGTGAGTCTGATTATTCAACGTAACTGTCGCTAGTGATGATTCCCATATTATGAAGCAAAAATGCATTATGTACAACTCGTCGAGCCATTTTTTTTTTCGTTTCGACAATCCCTTTGTTCAATTCAACAGAGTTAATCAACAATGTTTATGATCACAAATACCAAATGCCGTCATTTAATTTTCAATTAAAGGCCAGAATGACTTGAATTGTGTCTTTTTTTAAAAAAAAAATG